TCTCAGCTCAATGTTAGTTCTACCTCGTGCTACAAAAGAGAATAAACAAACACATTACAATTACAAATTTATCAAAAATATATCTTTGATGTCATACAGCTGCTTGACCCCATGATAACAGTAACCTAAGTTATAGTTTATACCATCTGTGGTTTATTTAAAAAGCACAGATAAATTCATGACTTAACAGCTTTCTGTCATGATTCTGACCCACATCAGATACACTGACTAAAAAGATCCTAGCTTGCTGTAATAAGTAAGTCTTTGTGTACAGAATGGCATCTCCTCTGCTGTCATGATCTGGCTTTGCCACTGTCCTCTGGGTAAGCACACTGTAATTGTTGAAGGTGAAGCAGATGTAACAGTCCACAAGCCTCTGACATTAACCAAAACTCCTCTTTTCTCTCCCATAGGACATGTGTACTTTATGATCAAACTTTTGCAAGTTATGTGATAATGAAATAGTGGAGAAAAAACACACTAGTGAAATAGACACTGTCTACTGAATTCAGTCAATAACAATCCTAAAGAAAGGGGTAGAGGAACTCCAAACAGTAAAAAGATTAGGACAAAATTAATGAGAAGTAAAACATGTAGGGAGAGAGAGAAAAAGATTAAGACCATGCACAAACTTGCCAGTGAGAAACAGTTAAGTCAAAAACTGAAAGCAGTAAGAAGCTGAAAGGGAAACTGCAAGTAGGAAAGGAACATTGAGATGGAATAATCTGGAACCAGTACTGAATGCCAGATAAGTGCTTTCTCATGGCTTTCTGGAACTGAAAGATCAGAACTCACAATGTGGATTCAGTCAGAAAGTATCAAATACACCCAACACAATTGTTAAATGTGAAAGATACTATTAATTTAAAAGAAATAATTCTGCTGAAACATGCCCTTTGATTATTTCTCAAAGATATTATCCTGCAATAACCCTCTACCTGCTCATCTACTCTACTCTTCACTTTTACAATGTACTAGACAGATATAAACAAATAAGACTGTTGGGAAGCCTGGAAAAGGGAAATTCTATGAAGAAAATATTTGTCATTCTTTCCTCTCAACGTATTATAGGTTGACACAGCATACCAAACCATCAAGTTAAAAGCACTTAGATACCAAAACCTTTGAGTTGTTGGCCAGGCCCTGCCATCAGGCAATCCTTTGTTTTGGGCTGTGATTTTTTTCAGCCTCACCAAAGGTGATCAGGGCTGCTGGTCTTTAAGGATCCAACTCATCTGGATAGTCTATGACTTAATGTTTCCAGACATGCTCTAGATGTTTCTTTCCATGAAATAGTGTTTCCTCCTCCTTAGGTCCCAACATGTCCTCTACCTCTCAAGGTTCTTTCCTTGGCTGTTAGTTCTCTGCTCCTCCATTTCCAGTCCTTTTCTGTGTTCACACTCATTAGTAGACATTCTTCTTCTTTTTTTTTTGGGGTACTGGGGCTTGAACTCAGAGCCTTCACCTTGAACCACTCCACCATGCCAATTTTTTATGACAGGATTTTTCAAGATATGATAGGGTTTTCTGAGACAGGGTCTTGCGGACTATCTCTCCGAGTTGGCTTTGAACTGACATCCTCCTGATCTCTGCCTCCTGAGTAGCTAGGATTACAGGCGTGAGACAGTGGCATCCGGCAATAGATATTCTTTCTCAAGGAGAATTTCCTTTGCACTCATGTACAACTAGCTGTAATCCTAGCTACTTGAGTAAGACTGTATATCACCAATAATTGTGGAATTATGACCTACACTTCTGTCTGCTGAAGTGCCCACTCAACAATGGACACGCAACTGGCAGTAAGGTAACATTGATGGATGAAATCATCTATACATCTGAGGATCTGGACATCCTATAAAAACCATTTGTGTCCTAAATCATAACAAACTTTTGGAAGTAAACATTTGATAATTCACTTCTGAGCAAACGCTGCTAGAAAAAAAATCACAGGGGAATACAAGAGAAGATTTTGAAATAGCAATTTCAGTTGTGAACAGATATGTTTTAAATGCTTTAGAAACGACTATTGGCTGGGTGTGGTGGTATGCATCTATAGTCCCAGCTACTCTGGAGGCCTGTGCAGAAGGATCTCTTGAGCCCAGTAGTATGAGATTACTCTGGGCAACACAGCAAGATTCCATCTCAAAAAAAAAAAAAAAAAAAAAAATCCCCAAACAAGTCTGGTGCCAGTGGCTCATGCTTACAATCCTAGCTACTTGAAAGGCTCAAGGTTTGAGATCGGCCTCGGCAAACAGTTTGTGAGATCCCATATCCAAAATAACCAGATCAAAATGGAATTGGAGGTATGGCTCAAGTGGTAGAGTGCCTGCTTTGTTAGTGTGAAGCCCTGAGTTCAAACTCCAGTCCACCAAAAATAAACAATCAAAAAAAAAAAAAGCCCAATGAGTGTTGCACATCTGTAATCCTAGCTACTTGGGAGGTGGGGGTAAGAGGATCATAAGTTTGAGACCAGCCAGGGCAAAGTTAGTGAGATTCTATCTCAAAGACAAAAAACAGCCAGGCACCAGTGGGGCTCAAGTGGTAAGAGAGCCTGCTTTGCAAAGCGCGAAACCCACCAAACACCTCCCCACCCCTGCATTTATAAACAAAAGGGCTGGCACATGGCTCAAATAGTAACAGTGCTTGCTCACCATGTGTGAAGCCCTGGGTTCAATCCCCAATACCACAAAACCAAACAACAAAAACAAAACTAAAATAAAAAACAAATGAACAAATACCACCATAAAAAAATAAAGAGTACTATCTGTAATAATGTTTCCTTACATTGTACTTTTACAAAGTGTAATATGGCACTTGACTGTCATTACCATTTATGTGCACTATACCTGGAAATTGCTGGGTAAAGTTCACTGAGAACATCTACCTTCCGTGTGCGTGCGTGTGTGTATGTGTGATGTATTTTTTAATTTAGAGGTTGAAATATATAGAAAAGTACAAAGGGAACAAAATCGCTTAACACTTTTTTTCTCACCAACTCAGAGGACATCACTATTGAAATGTTGGTATGTCTTTATACTTTTGCGACACAACTGTATAGTATTTTTTAATACAAAAACATCAAGAATATTCCTCCATCCTGTATGTGTCTCACATTACATTTCAACTAACTGTAAAGTATAATTTCATCATATGGATACCACTTTAATCAGCCCAATGTTGCATTTTCAATTTGCTTATAATTTTAAGACATTATATCCAATGCTGTGACAACTTGTAAAACATTTTTGCATGTACCCTGATGTTTTCTTAGGATAAATTTCTACAAGAAGATTTGCTCTTATACAGCAAAGGATGTACAGAAAGGATGCACACTAAAGATAAAAACATACTGAGTAGTGTACGTATTTATAATACCTTAATATAGGATATTATATTCTAAAGTTAAAAAGAATATTCCTAGTAGATGTTTGACTGTTTTTTGTTTTGCATTGCAGGGATTCAAACCTAGGGCCTTTCTTGCATGTGCTAGGAAAATGTTACTGAGCTACAAGTCTCCAGCTCAGAAGTTTTATTGGGGGAAAGATCTATTCCTGAACTTCTAGGAGCAGACACTGAAGGCAGTTACCTTAAATTTGACTATTTTGCCACCAAAAAGGCCATCATTTTCTTTCTTTTTTTGTTTTTTGAAGTACTGGGTTAAACTTAGGGCTTCATACTTGCTAAGCAGGTGCTCTATCACTTGAGCTGTGTCCCCAGCCTGGGGCCATCATTTTCTAAGGGCCACCTGACATTGGCTGGACTAAGGCCTGTTAGTAAAGATTAGTTTCAAACTATTGTTTAATAGGTACAGAGTTTCAATTTTACATGATATAGTTTTGTGTACGTGTGGTACGTGAATGTAGTTAACTATACACTTAAACACAGTTAAGATGGAAATTTTATGTTATGTGTATTTTACCAAAATTTAAACATAGAACCCTAGGTACAGAAATAGCCATTTTTCAGGCAGGAGCACTATCCCACATAAAACACTGTCATTTCCGTTTGCCACAGATGAATTCAGAAACTACAATCCCTGATTGTGGCAGTAGCAGAAAATTGTGTAACTAGAAACCTAGCTAGAGGAATATTTTTATTTTTTACATTTAGTTAAAGCAACACATGGTTTGAGACCTTCCATCTTTCTTAACAGCTATGGAAAAGAAGATAATGAATTGGTATTAAGTTTGAGGTGGGTTTTTTTTTTCTTTCAGGGGGTAGGGGGACAATCTTGGGGACAGAACCCAGGGTCTCATGCTTGCTAGGCAGGCAATCTACCACTTAAGTCACACCCTTAGTTATGAATTGGTATTCAGAACCTTGTCACAAATTTTGTATCATCCTTAATATAACGTTCTCTACAGTCCAAAGGCCCAAGGTAATGCAACACAAATGAATATAAAATTTCCCACAAGCAGTGCTTCTAGAAGCCACATTAGTCCTACAGGAACCCCTGGTATTTTTATTTCTCTCTCTTTGAAACAGAGTCTCACAATGAAGCCTAGGCTGGCCTTGAACTTCTGATCCTCCTGCCTCTGCCTCCAGAGTAGCTGAGATTATAGACGTGCAACATTACTCCGGGAAAGTTAATATCTTTTTGATGTTCATACCTTTCTATTTCACTTACTGCCATCCCTCCCAGCCCTTAGGTGTTCACTTCCTAGCATTATCATTTATTTGTTTAGAAACAACTCATCTCACCCTTTGCTCGCAGAATTATGACATTGAAACTGTTGGAGAGTTCTCTACTCCACAGTCAATGGATCAAGGTGATTGCTGGGTTCTATGAGGGCACTCATGGAAAGAGACAGAGGAAAGTCTTACCTTGTTTGCTCTGAAGGAAGCTGAAAAAGGCTACTATTGTCCATAGAAAATAGCTGCTAGGTGGCCCTCCCAAATTTCCTTGGGGTTCCAATTTTTAGATAGTAAAATAAGGCAAGCAATATTCTCCTTGTCCAGCAACATAATGTAATTATAAATAGAGCAGGCAGTGAATAAACAGGCAACTGAGGGTTCCAAAATGCCACATGCAGAATGTCTTTCGTTTAGTCCAATCATACACGACAGGAAAAATAAGATTTTATTAATAGTTTTAGGAGCAATAATGCTGTTTTACTGAGTCAAGGTTAAAGTGATATACATATTGCTCCCCATTTAAAATGATGAAAGAAGACTTTTAAATCAAGGACACTGGTTTATGATATGATTAATTCTAAAACTCATTAAACCCTTCATTGTCAGAAAAGGCATTTTCAAATTTATCTTCTTAAAAAAAACTTTTTATGGAAATTTTTACTGCTTAGCTTTTACTCTTGCTTACTGGAGTAAATGGAGAATGAGTTTAAATAAGAGGAACAATTTATGGGAATGTATGAATTCATGTGAGAACTGAACCCTTCAGGTCTGTCCTCTCTAAATGTTTCAGAATATGACTATAAACTACTTCCAAAGAAGTTACACAGCTGTACTGCAAACATTTCTGCTACGTTTATAAATAAGCCTTAATAATTTAATTACTCAGACTGGACCAATGATACACACACAAGGGCTATGTGAGCCTTGGAGAAGCATAGCACAGTGGTCAGGAGCTGGTCTAGAGCAAGGGTGACTTGGACTTGAATTTTGCTTCTGTCATTTACTGGCTGGCTGTCCTTGAGCAAGTTACTTAAAATTTCTATGCCTCAATTTTCTATTCTATGAAACAAATACTCACCTCATAGGGTGGTCATGAGGCAAAAATGTATGCTTTTAACAGCGTGTGACAAAAAATCAGAACAAATTCTAGGGATACCATCTCAGTAACAGTATTTCATGCCCTGTCAAAAGAGTAGTTGGAAAAAGCAACAGTTTGGCTATTTCAAGCATTCACCAAGGCAGCAGGTATCACAGAGCCAAGAAATATTACAGTTCAGGAAGCAAAGCCATTCTCAAAAGGTTAGGGTATAGGGGAAGAGGGACAAAGCATAAAAGCCAACCTATGGGAGACTGACTGGAAATCGAAGAGCTGGAATCAGAGCGCTTTATTTTACTCCCAGGATGGTGAACTAGAATAAAAAATATGTAAACAGAAAGAAACAGAGACAGAGCAGAAAACGCAGAAACCAGTCAAGAAAGACAAACTGGTAGACAGAGGGGAGCCCCCTGTACACCCACATGCAGCTCTGCTAACAGGAAAAGGAGAGGATGTAGCTAAGCAGAATGTGCTTGTTTGTCCCCTAGTCCCTAGCTGCTTAGACTAAGTTGATGGGTTTTTTTTTGCCTTTGGGCTGATGGGTGCCTTTTCATATTTATATAGCAGGAAGACATTCCAAAGTCTTGCTTAGGTGACTGTTTTAGAAAGGTTTAGGCTGCTGGTAGGTATCTCTTTAACTTCTCTTCTCTTCTAGTTAAGGATGCTTACCAGTCCTTCCCTGTATGGGAAGAGCCCAACACCTTCAAGTTTTAGTCATAAGAATTACAGGAAAAGGCACCTGAGACTCTTACGATAGAAGAAACTAAACACCAGGTTCCTTGCTAGGTTGGTATTAATGTAAAGCTCCAAAGTGAAACATTCAGATGATATCAACTCATTTAACTCTCACTCCTGTGTTCTACAACAGTATCAACTTCTTTAGCTTTTTCTCCCTGGAACCCAGAGTTCTAACCTTTGCTATGTGGGAAAACACCTGGGCACTTCAATAATGAAACAAAAAAATAGATCCACTATCAACACTTCTTGTAAGCATGAAAGATCAGCAGCATGGGCCCAGCTAACTTTCTAACATGTAATTCATGTCAGGATGCTTCCTTACCTCTGCAGGGATCATTTTTCACTAAAAATTCATCCAAGGCCATCCATCCTCCACCAACACGGACCATCACTGTGCTGCGCAGAATACGGACCAGCCGCAACTGCTGAGAATCCCCAAACTGTAGAATCAAGGGGAAACATAGTTAATGAGTATGCCTTAAAGTACACCTGTACTATCCCCCTCCCCCCTACAAGCAGACTGTATTCAGACAAGAATGACAGTGTGATAGTTTTGGGAGATTTTCAAACTCTATTTTGCATTTTTACATTTTTCACAAAAGGGTTAGTAAATATAAAAGCAGAAACACCAAACTACAGACCAGTATCTTGTGGGCTAGGGATGTAGCTCAGTGGTAGAGCACTCACCTAGTATGCACAAGGGCCTGAATTAGATCCCTGGCACAGCAAGAAAAAAAAAAAAAAACTGTCTGGTATGGACCAGGGTCTTATGCTAATTTGTTTTCCTAAAGTAAGTGTGTGTGTGTGTGTGTGTGTGTGTGTGTGTGTGTGTCAACTGAATACAGTGTGCTCTAAAGTGAAGTGGAGAATAGCAAACACCATATCAAGCATGAAGGAAACCCTTGCAAAGCATCATTATAAAGTTAGGAGAAATTTGATTTGCTGTATCTAGTTTTCAGAAGTAAACCTTAAGCATTTTCTACTTGTGATTTCACCAGCAAAACAAATGACAAGGTAATGTATTAAAATTTAGTTGAAGAAATAAAAATTTTAATTTTCCATCGTGATTATAACGAGCATTCAGTAATATTCTGGACCTTCGAATAAACATGATTTTGTTTTGTTTTGTTTTTGAGACAGGGTCTCACTATGTAGCTCAGGTTGGCCTTGAACTCTCAATCCTCCTGCCTCCACTTCCTGAGTGCTGGGTTACAGGCATGCACCATCATGTCTCACTTATAAACATGTTCTTTCTGATATTTGTTTTCTCCTTTTGTTTTTGCCTGACATTCTGACTTCCCATCTCTAGATTAATATTTGGTGCTTCCTACTACATAAATTGCCTCTTCCCCAAAGGAAGAGGGAACAAAAGAGAAGTATGATAAGATTTCAAAACGAACATCAAACATATGATTAAAGAAATGGAATTTTTAAGATTATTTAATTTAAGGAGAATGTTTCTGGGGGAGGGAATATTTAACCACCTAGTCAGGATTTTCAAAGTTATAAAGAATCATAATTTTGAAACAAGGCAGAAAAATTAAAAATGTGAGAAAGGATGTCTGAGGACACTAAGTATCATCCTTCAATATTAATAAATTGGCAGTTAATTCTCCATATTCTTTAGCTGCTCTGACTCAAATGCACTATTTATCAGCACTAGGGTTTAAATTCAGGGACTAAGCTTGCTAGGCAGGCACTCTGCCACTTGAGACATGCCCCTAGCCCTTCAAATGCACTATTTGTATAGGCAAAGAGTCTCAAACATATTGTTCCTTCTCTTCCTAGCCATTTACTTTGAAAATAAGCAGCCCTGTATAATTTCATCTCAAGTGTTTTTTTGTTTTGTTTTTTTTCTTTTGGCAGTGCTGAGGATCAAACCCAGGGCCATGCAGCATGGTAGGCCAAGTGCTCTACCACAGAGCATATAGTTTTCCCTCTTATATGTAGTTTTTAAAAGTTTTATACAGTGACCACAGTGACAAGATGGTAAAGTAGAAACAGCACTATCCATAGCTGTGAGGAAATAGATACACTCTCTGGGGAAGGAAGCTGCTTCCTGCCTTGGAGGGAGCATGTTCTGGGGGGGCGGGGGGGGGGAGTTTTCACTGGATAGGTGAGGAGAGGGAAGAATATGAATCTGTGTCCTCCTGAGTGAACAGGAAGGAACCCCAGAGTACTTTATTCTTAGAATATCGTGTCTTATGGTTCATTACTCCATTTATTTCATGGTTGTTTCCCCTTAATTTCTTAGTGAAGCTTTATTTGAAAGATTCTAGCTTGTTTCTTCTGAGCTCTGGGAAAAGGATGTTTGATTCAAGGCACTTGAGGCCAAAGCAGCTGCTGTGGGGCAATCTGAGGCCAGTGATGAGAGGTAGGAGGGTTATGGCACCTCTAAAGATGGGAACTAACAGAACAAGGTGTGAGAGGCAGAGAACTCCGAACCAGCGTCTTTGAGGTCAACAACTGTTTCTCTTATAGAGACTTGGGTTCTTTTGTTGGGTATGACATTAGCTGTGTGACAGTGGAATGTGATCTTTGAGACCTCAGGCGCCTTGTAGGTAAGATGAACTTCCTAATTCTGTTCTCTATTACAACATTTTACCACTTGAGCCACTCTGCCAGCCCTATTTTGTACTGGGTATTTTTGAGATAGTGTCTTGCAAACTATCTGCCTGGGCTGGCTTTGAACCTCGATCTTCCTGATCTCTGTCTCCTGAGTAGCTAGGATTACAGTTATACTTTATTTTGGGACAAGATCTTGCTAAGTTGCAAGTTGCCCAGGCTGGCCTCAAACTTTAGATTCTGCCTCAGCCTCCTAAGTAGCTGAGATTATAGACTTGAACCACCTCACCTGACCTGGCAATGGTTTATTTAAAGTCAACATGACTTTTCTCATCTTTAGATTTTTCTCTCCCTGGTTCTTTCCACTGACCCCAAACATTACTCTAATTGGTGATTATTGCAGTGACTGGAATTTAACATTGAGGGCCTTCAATGAATTCTTAGTGTTTCCAATTTTATATCATAGAGAGAGAGATTAACTCATGCAACTTCCTTTCACATTTGAAGACACAGCACCCCAGAGCCCTCAAAAAGATCTGAAAGGTTACAGTTACCAAGTGGAGTCAAGGTTTCCAATCTTTTATGCAAGTGTAATTAGGTCCTATTAGATTCTGGCTGGCTGGTCATAATCAGCAAACTTTAGGCCATGGCCAATTATGATTTCCACAATATGGTTTAAGGTACTTTGTAATTATAAAATGTAAGTATAAATATTAAGGAAATATTTAAACACAGTACTTAAGTACCCCTGGGACTTTCTGACTTAGTACACATTACAAAGTTTGTATTAACTGTCAAAAGACTGGTATAAATAAAAACTGTGCTGATGGTTCTGCTTATAATATAGAAGTACGAGACAGGTGCTTTCTGTAAGTGGAATGGGTTGGTAATATAGTCTCAATTTCCCCTGAATCGTATTACTTTATAACTTGGTGTTTTTTGTTTGTTTTTTTTTAAAGTATACTTGTATCCTTTTCTGCTGAGGCAGCTTTGTGACACTGGCTCTGTTAGCAGTTTCTCCACTTGGTAAGACAACCAGATGTGACCCAGCATGCTTCAGATTATGTCCTTTCCCCACAGCAAAGAACAGGCAGCATCAGCTACAAAGACCATATCCACTGAGGAGGACATTGCAAGCACACTGTACCTGATTGCCGAGGAAGAACTACAGACAGTAAGAGTACAGGATGGAGGGGAAAAAAGAGAACATTTTGTCAAGTTAACACTAAGGAATGGCAATCATAGCATCATGTTACCAGTCTTCCAAATATACACTGATCATATTCTTATCAAGCACCTGCCATATGGATGTGATTTTACAAATTAAACACTGTATTGCTCATATTAACTCATTTCTCTTGTAGGTAATTTAAAAAACAAGAAAACAAAACCCAACAAGCACGTATAGGATTATCTGGAGCTCTAACTAAATGGCCAGGGTTAGAGTCAAGACAAAGTCATCCAAACACAAACGCTACTCAGTTAATAGCAGCACGGTAGGGATTTGGGGTACATTTTTGAGGTATTAATGGAATCCGGGTTTTTTTATGTTTCAGTCAAGCATGGCCATTTAAACCCTCTTTGGTAATCACAGGTTTTTTTTTAGGACTTCAGAGAATCCTGACAAGCTGCTGAATATACTTTAGGAGTACTGTTTTTGGATGCTTTCTACATTGCTGAGCTGGTCCCAAAATAAACAAAAACAAGTATAATTTACTGTCAGTTATAGCAACACGTAAGTCTTCTCTGTAGCCCAGCTCGTAATAAGCACAGCATTTGTTGGATCTCGAAGCAGTTTTCCTAGCCATCTCTGTGCATGGGAGCTATTCAGGCTCACGATGACCAACTCTCTGGAGCGAATCATCAATCATTTGGTATAGTTGGTTATCACCCTGAAGATTTCAGTTAGCAATGAGGTAAGGGCTCTGAAATGTCTCCTATCTAGAGATAAGGGCCAGACAGTGGTCAAATCTCTAGGCAAGGACACCAGGTGTGAGACAGTGGGATCATCTGGTCTGCTGTATGTCAGGTTACTTTAACCTATAAGGGCCACATGTCGTTTTTCTCTTCCTTACCCGGTATTTATTCTCTCCGATCTGCTCCACCTGAAACCTTTTTGCACACTTGCATTGAGCTACTTGTCTTGTGACCTATGAGTTGTAAACAGAAACAAACAAACAAAAATAAAGGGCAAAGCAAGACTTCCTAATTCCTAGTTGGAGAAACAAATTTTTTTTTAAACATGTAAACAGAGAAGCTATTCATTATTTTTCAGCATTTTAGGCTTCTGACACATGCATTTATTGTCTACTCATAATTAACACACATTGCTCTTGAGATAAGAGCCACTGAGACAAAAGGCATATATGCAAGAAATCCAAGTAACTCTACAACATACAACACATTCTTTCATCCTGCTTCAAAACTTCTTTAGGAGAGTGCTAATATGCATACATCAAAATCAAATGACTAATAAAACAAATTATGAACTGACTTGAATTTCAACCTAGGAGCCTGAATTTCCCAAGTTATCTCTGGTGTATCCCAGAGCTACTCCCAAGACTGGCTCTTCTGTCTCTCCCTTTCCAAGACCTGTAATCGATGGATCCTGGGATCTCTATGTGCTACTTATAAATTTTCTGTTTCCAACAAGATTCAGTATTTAACTAGGCAAAAAGCTTGGTACATACACACCATCTTAAACATTGTATTACAGCCCTTTCACTGTGTTTGAAGATCATGTTCCTGGATTCTGAGGTAGGATGCTCAGGACTAAGATGAGTCCTGAGCAACATGGTACCTGTTAACCAGGATGAACACAATTCCCTGGAAAGGTCCTCTGTGGACTTTGGAGTACCACAGACATGACCCCTGTAGTAATCCATCTAGACCAAGCTAGAGCTTAGTAGCCAGAGAGACACTCTGGGGCTCTCTGAAACACCATCCAAAAGTTGAACCTGAAACATAACTCCAAATAACCAGTTCTCCACAAGAGTCAAAGGGCTGATATGGTAAACAAATTCAGGGCGATACAAGCCCTTGGTCAAAAATATACTTAAAACATAATTATCCCCTATACCTCATCTTCAATTTTATCTGCATCAGTTGTTGGTCGATAAGCATCCTTGTTGGGATGGAGAGCAGCCACAAATTCATAGTAGTCAATGTAGCCATCCCCATCCCTGTCAAAAATGTCAGCCACAGCAGTCATCTCTAACTTGGTGGTAGGGAACTCTGGAGAAAAAAAAAAAAATCACAATTTGAAACATTATAAGGGTTTACTTGGTTGACTGGTATATAAATACTTGAAAAAAAAAAACTGGCACAATTTTTTTTCTGAAAAGCAATACATGTCTACTTTAGGAAACTCAGGAGATACAAATTATAAAAATCACTCAGAAATACAGCATCCAGGGACTACTCACTATTATGATTCTGGTATTTTTGCTTATAAACTCCCTTACCCCTTATGCAGTTAAAAAGAAAAAAATAGTATTTCAGATATACCAAAAGGCATAAGATATAAGGTTACAACCAGCTATAGGCCTACCACTCATCTTAAGAATTTACTTACCTACTCCACTATTGCTGGATGTTCAGATTAGTCACTATTTCAAGCCAGTGTCACTTTAGAATTAAAAAAAAAAAAAAAATTTTTTTTTTTTGGGCGGTACTGGGGTTTAACCTCAAGGCCTTGTGCTTGTTAAGCAGGCATTCTACCACTTGACCCATGCCTCCAGCCCCTTTTTTCCCTCTATTTTTAAGATTACTGTCTTAGATTCTTGACAAATTGCTTTCCACAAAGAAGTGTGAGTATCTGTAGGAGTCAGAGTGAGTTATTGAAACAAAATCAGATCACATTGTTTCTCAGCTGAAAACCTCAGATGGCTCCCCACTGTCCCACTGACTTCAGAATGACATCTGAGCTCTTCACTATAACCTCTAAGGTTCTGTGTTAACTGGCTGCTGCTTACCTTTCCAGCTTCACCACTTTTGACTCTCCTCTTAGGTCACGACACTCCAGTCACATCAACCTTTCCATTCCTAGAATATGCCAAGTTCATTCCTACCTCAGTGTTCTGTACCTTCTATTCCCCTTGCCTCCAGCACTTCTCAAAAATCTTCATGTGTCTGAATGAAACCTTCTCAGCATTTAGGTTCAGTTCAAATATTACCTCCACAGATAGGTCTTCCCTGACTACCCCATATGAAATCGCATAGCATGAGAAGTGCTTTGTGATCCCAATCTTGGCAAATTATTTAACTACTTTATGCCTCAATTATGTCTCCTGTGTCTTTGGCTAAAACGTTGTAAGCTGTTATAGAGATGTCACAAACTGCTTTTATGAAAAACTTCCTTTTATTTCTTTAAGATAGGGTCTCACTATGTGGTCCAAACTAGCCTTGAACTTGTGATACTCCTTCCTTGGCTTCCCGAGGGCTATGAAAAATGTATTTTTCAAAGCATGTTACTTAGAACCTTATTATTCAAAGTTAGCTTTATACCTACACCTTAAACGTGTCTTGCTTGCCCTGAGGTATCAAATAAGTGTTTTTTATTACTAGTGGAAATGAGATTCTTTTCTCCATCAAAATGATGTATGTTTAGTAGGCAGTTATCTTCCCTAAGACTTCTATTTCAGAAAGACTACTTGGCCATAAGATCACAACTTCTACAAAGTAACTGCAAGGAATTAAGGTATGACCTATGTTTGGAATTATGAATGGACTCACTGGAGGCTAAAATTCCATCGATAAACTCCTGACGTGTTATCTTCCCATCTTGGTCCTTGTCAATGCGGCGGAAGAAATCCATGACTCGAGACTTTTTGTGATTCATCCAACGCATATACTTTTTCCTCCAGACATCAAAGTCAAAGTTGGCAAATTCCTTCAACTAGATAGAAGTCAGAGTTGTCAATAAGAACTATTATTTTGAGCCCTCAAAGCTGCCCTGAGCATACACAAACTCTCAGACATTCAGCAAAGCCATGCAGGCCTTCCAGGGGCACCGACAGTGCTATTTACACATTGCCTCACTTGTGAAGGCACCCTGTCTCCTTCACTTGAAGCCATAATCATTTACATAAGCTGTGGTGGAATGCAATAGCAGGAGAAACAGTAAATGAAAAAATACTGCAGAAAATACAGAGCACAAAGAATGGGTGGAGCCAGGCTTGCTTTTCCTTTGGACTTTTCCATCTTTTCTAAGATGTAAGGGAATGGAATCTATCCCAGAAGGAAAGTCTCAGCACCCCTCTCATGTTGTTTTAAAAGGCACTATAATCACACATAGAGTCCACATCAGGACGCTCGTTTTCCACCATTTTCGGAGACTTCTGTGAGGAAATGAGTTCTGTATGGGAAGCATTGAGAATGCAACCCTGTACTCAAGCACGTTTCTTTGGAATGGCACCAGAGGGAGCAAGCTGCCCTCCTGACATTTATGTTAAATTTTGGCCTTGATGGAAAATAGCAGGCCTGTTACAGTGGGCAGGATGATTTTCAGCTACTTGGACTATGTTAGTGATTCACAAGCAGAATGATTTAACAGTATAGCAGTTTTCCCCCTGGTCTTTCAAACTCCAAAGTTGGAAGGAATGGGGGAAAGAAAGCGCCAAGAACCAAATATGCTTAAAATTCAACTGACCTATGGAAATAACAACAAAAAACACAGAACACTCACTTCCAGGCATAGCTGCTTTGAGGTGCACAAATAAAAGAATATAAAAGATATTAGAGGCTTGTTTTAGAAACTATGAAGCATGGTACCATATTTTTTATATTGGGTAATAACACTTCAATAGACTTGCTTTTTATGATCTAGTGCAGACTAACAAAATAATAAGACAATAAAAATTCATTCTTATTTCATGATTGTGTAGCATGTATCTTATCTTTACATGAGGGGTTCAATAATGGTCCTTTCTTTTTTTTTGGTGGTAATCAGCCTCACGCTTGCTAGGCAGATGTACTACTTGAGCCACTCACCCAGCAGTAATTGTCATTTCTGTGATAAGCTATGTATCTGGATATAACTTCTCAAAGTTATATTCCTGATTCTCAACCACAGCAAAGTTCTGAAGAGAATCAGGTCCCAGGCCTGACTTTTGTATGAACAGGCTTGTTTTTTGCTTTCCACTACCAGATGCTATGGCCTCCTCTGCTGTGAGTGGTTTTCTTATGAATGTGTCTTTCTTATTTGGGGGCTTGAAATAAAGAGTACTGGCTCAGTACAGGTCTGCTTCTACTTCTGAAGAAGTAGGTGAAGACATATAGGTCATACTAAGAGGGCCTCAGAAGAGCTGTGCGTGTTTTTTAAATTTGCGGTACAGGGGTTTGAACTCAGGGCCTACAACTTGAGCCACTCCGCCAGTCTTTTTTGTGATGGGTTTTTTTTGAGACAGTCTTGTAAACTATTTGCCTGAGCTGGCTTTGAACTGTGACCCTCCTGATCTCTAGCTAGGATTATAGGCGTGAGCCACTGGAGCCTGGCAACAGCTGCGCTTTGATTTAAAAAACAAAACAAAACAAAACAAAACCAATCAAACAAAAAAAACACTTGAAGGCCACTCAGAAGGGCATTACCTCCTCTAGTCTATCCAAAGCATCATTCAGCTTCCGCTGGCGCTCCAGTGCTAACAGCCATACTTGTTGCCAGCGGGCAGAGAGCTGATTGATTCGTGGGTTTTTTGCTTCAGATTGTGAGAGGATTGGCATGGGAGGAGGTGTGGGATGACTCAAAGATTTTCCTAAAATGAAAAATAATCACAAGATTAGAAAAGCTGGTTTTTGTCAGTCTACAGAGAAATAGCTATATGTATAAACTTGAGATTTTTTTTTTTTTTTTTGCAGTACTGAAGTTTGAACTCAGGACCTCACCCTTGGTAGACAGGTACTCTACCACTTGAGTCACTCCACTAGCTCTTTTTGTCTGTGTGTTTGTTGGGTATTTTCTGAGATAGGGTCTCACTTTCATTTTGTGTGCGCTGGCCCCAAACCATAATCCTCTTGATCTCTGCCTCCTGAGTATCAAGGATTACCAGCATGAGCCACTACTGCCCGGCCTTAAGAGATCTTTATAATGGTATTCAGTCAGTAATTGAGAAAAGAAACATGGTACTTGGCAACACCTAGATACATTGGTGTACTAGCTGCAGAGCTATTGATCTCTCTTCTAGTCCACAGATACTTACCTATTTCCTACATATCTCTAACCAATTCTGTCCTACCTTAGTGAACTGAGAACATGGTCAACTCAACAAAAAGCAGTAGATTCTAGAGCAGCTGATTTATGTTATAATTAAATTATAACAAATTATAGCAAATCAAAGGTAAATAGCTAGTACCAATGACCAAACAATGGAAAGGCCACTGTTTCAGAACAGACTTTGGGCTGACAGAGTGGCTCAAGTGGTAGAATGCCTGCCTAGTAAGTATGAAGCCCTGAGTTCAAATCCCACTACCAACAATAAAAAATTAAAGAAACCCCAAACAAAAAAATACCCCCCAGACTTCAATACCTTGCAATTTAATACTAATCAAGAAAATAAAAGTATAGCTAGTCTATCAGTGTTAGAAAGATTTCAAAACAGATTTTGGCTCAAATCCAGTAAGGTTTTGAAAATCAAAATAATTCTTTTGATAGGCACTTGGAAAGTTCTCATCTTCAATTAGCAGGAAGGAAGGATCCTAGTGAAGTGGTCAGAAACATACTGCTACCACTGCGGGATTTCTCAATGAAAGGAGCATGGGTAGGCTCTATATTCTTCCTTTTGTATGTCTTGGTGACGCGGTCCACATCAGGTTGCTTGCGTGTCATCTCCTCCATAAATGTCTGTTAAATATAAAAATAAAGAAATAATTTGAGTTTTCTTGTTCTAAAATGGAAACAAATGCCAAGCCTGTGACAGATGCCCTTGCATACACTCTCACTCCTTTTAAGAAATGTGATTAAGCTAGGTACCTTATCAAGAGATGGAGACCTGAAGGAGGAAGAAATAGCCTCTGACTTCAAGGAGCTCACAGCTGAGTGATGAAAATCAAGAACTCAGAGCACTAAGTTGAGCACCAGTGATTGAGGCCTATAATCCTAGCTATTTGGGAAGCTGAGATTGGGAGGATTGTGGTTTGAAGCCATCCCGGGCAAATAGTTCCTGAGACTCCATCTCCAAAATAACTGGAGCACAACAGACTGAAGATGTGACGAAAGTGGTAGTGTCAGCTTTGCAAATGTGAAGCCCTGAGTTCAAATCCCATTCTAGAGCACTAAATGCCACATAGGCACCCAGACCGAGCATGAGTATCTCACAGACTGGTGTGGCAAAGAAAGCTGCCTGGAGGCTGGTGCCTAAGCTGAGTTATAAGGGATGAAGAATTTGTCAAAGAACAGGGGGAGGACAGTCCCAGCAGAAGGTATAGCCTGGGCAGAGCCCAACAGTGGTATGGACTAGGACCCTTCCACTCACTGGCTTAGTAGAGGATACCATCAGGAGTGGCAAGAGGTGGGGGTAGAAAGGCAGGCAGGATAAAGACCTAAAGGCCTGTGTTAGGCTAAGGAATTTGGATTTTATTCTGAGAGCAATATGGGGCAAATAAGGATTTTGATCCAGGGAAGATGATCAGATCTAGCTTTAGAGGAATCATTTCAATTTTAGTGTAGAAAGCAGAGTGATGGGGGAGTAGGGACAGCTAATGACTAGTTGTAGGGAGACAGGTTAGGAAGCCATTGTGGTAATTGAGGCAAAACATGGTAAGGGTCTAAACCAGGGCGGAAAAGATAGAGCCAAGAGGTAATTTGGAAGTAAGTTGGGGGCACATGTCTATAATCTGAGCACTCAGGAGGCCGAGGCCAGGAGGGTTGTGTGTTCTAGGCCAGGCTGGGCTACATATAGCAAGATGTTGTCTCAAAACCGAAAAGAAAATAGAACAGATAAAATTTGGTTATATGCTAGATGTAGGGTGTGGAGGAAAGGGAAGAGTCCTAGGCACATCAATGGGCTTCTATTTTTAGTGAATATTGAGGAAAGAGATTTGGAAGGGAGGAGCAGGGTCAGGCAAGGAGTCAAAGATAAAATGCAGAATTAGAGCTGCCTCTAGTGTGCCTTATGTCTGGACTTAGGAGACAACAGTGAAATGAAGTAAAAGATGTGACAGTCCCGGGTTTATAGGAGATGGCTAAAACTATGGGACTAGATAAATCTTGGCAATGTGAAGAGAGTGTCAAGAATGGAACTTCAGGGAATACCAACCATTAATGAATGGAAAAGGAAGAGGAACCAGCTAAGGTGACTGAGAAGAACAGTTAGGTACAGCAGAAGAAAATGAGACGGGGGCACTGAGAAATTGAAGTTTTGAGAAGGAACAGTTGACTATGCCACAGGACAAAGACAAAGCCAGTATCATGTAACTGGAGCCATGTCAGTAGTCTGATGGGAAGGGAGCCAGACCACAGGGACCTGGGGAGTGATGAGAACCAAGAGAGAAGATAGGGAACAAGAAACGGGGCTGGACAGGAAGAAGGCAACAATGTGGTAATTCGAGAGGAACATACAGTTGAAGAAACATGTCTGGAAACTTTGGAGGAAGAGTAAACAGAAAGGGAGAGCTTGAAAGGGGTAACTGAAAGGAGGTACTGGCCCTTAATAGGAGGACAACCTCACAGTCAGGAGAGGAGCTGATGTAGACAAATCATGTTCTCACTTGGTAGGGAAACTACTTACATAATCTAATGAGGCCATACTATACTAAGAGTATAGCTAAGCAAGATCCATACTTTCATTCAGTGTAAATTATCATGGTTAAAAACTGCATTTGTCTCCTAAGGGTAGATGAAGAAAACAGTTACTGAGCGGTCCTTCATTCAGCTAGGTCTGAGGATACCCTCCTCTCTGGGCTCAGGCAAGAGTGCTTTCCCAACCCAGGTTCATGGGACAGGACAATGGGCTCCTGGCTCCAACAAAAGTCAGACTTCCAAGTTGTCCCCAAGATTCCTGCTCTTGGTGTACATGCTCTGTATAATCCCCTCCCCCTTGAAGAGTATGGGTAAACTTGTGAAAATGATGGAATAGTCACTCCTTTGATTTATACCATTATAAAAGACTCAGTCCATCATATTGGACAGTTCTCCTGCTGGCTTTGAAAACACAATGAGAGGGCTCTGTGGCTACAACTCAAGATTGGCCTCCAATTGTTGAAAGCCATCAATAAATGGAGAACTCAGTCCTATAACTGCAAGGAACTGCATTCTGCCAATAAACTGAGTCAGACTGGAAGAGGATCTTGAACTCCAGATGAGAACCGTAGTACTGGAGGAGGCCTTGATTTCAACCTGGAGAGATCCTAAGAAGATTCAGCTAAGTCATGTCCACACTCCTGACCCATGGAAACCGTGAGAAAGGAGTGTGCTGTTTTAAGCTGCTGTGGTAATTCATGTAGTAGCAATGAACAAATTCACAGGGTGAAGGAAATGGGTTCCATGATTACACAGAAAACATCAGTGAAGTTAGGATACCTGATGCTCAGCAATAAGGGCTTTAACTCGGTCGATATTCTGAGGGATTGGCTCCTGATCCCGCTGAATGAGGGTAGTCTCAGCCCACTGGATCCATGCCAGAAGTTCTTCTAGCAGCTCGGCATTAGCCACCAGTTCTGACAGGGCTGCTTCTAGGCGCTGCTGGTGCTGCTTCGCCCACGTTAGGACCTAAGAGAGAGAAGGAAACCATGGCCTCTTTTAGTTAAGCACATCCCTTTGTTTTAAACCCCCTTTTCACCGATCCAAATTAACAACTGTTTAGGCAAGAGACCACCTAAGCAGTCAGCTTTCCTAAAAGCAAATCTAGCACATTCTATTAAATGGAGCACTTTTCAGGAAGGAGGGAAGTAAAACACAAAATACGTCCCCTAGAAGCCAAATGATTCACATGTCTCTATACCAGCACTATTTTTCCAGATGGCTACACCTTACCAAGAAGTCTTTATTAAAATGCTAACTTAATTTTTGTTCAGATATTCACAGTGAAGATTCCTTCCCTGCAGTATTCATTCACTGTAATTCCACTTCACTGGGTGTGTGTGACTTACCTCCTCAAATCGAGCTCGGATGATTGTGATCCAGTGTTTGATAGTCGTGATGCAATCAGGATGGCAGACACCCAGGATGATTTCTCCCATGGCTACCGCTGCATTTACATCCACTTGCTTTTCTTCCACTTTCTTCATGAATTCCTAAACAAACAAGAGTCAAACCTTAAAAAATCTACTCTATCAATACCATTAATTTATACTGAGAGGGGAAAGAAATTTCAGGGCTTTTTTTCCCCTACATGTGTTAACCCAGGCCTCTTAAAGCATCTAGGTGTCTCTGGCATTTTCTATCTAATTCTAAAAGATGTGGGAAAAGTGAGAGGTGTATCCAAGAATGACTTTTTCTGCTACAGATGACAACAAGGACTAGGACACAGAGATATATCCTTTTTCCTATTCTGAATTAGTTTGTCTCTTTTTTGAATATTATTTTTATTCACTTTCATATTTGTAAATATATTTATCTTTGAAAAAGGTAATGACAGCTATAACCACAACAATATTTCTCAAATACCCACAACATAGTACAAAGAGAAAACCATGATTAAAATCTCTGGTTGGAAAATTAAAGATAAGGACAAAATAGTTTCTGCTGGGTATTGAGGGGGTAGGGGGGAGAGGAAGGGGGCAGAGTGGGTGGTAAGGGAGGGGGTGGGGGCAGGGGGGAGAAATGACCCAAGCCTTGTATGCACATATGAATAATAAAAAAAAAAATCTCTGGTTGGTAACATGAAAATTAAAAAAGGAAACAATTATTTTCCACTTCATTAAGGGCAGACTAAGGCCTCAGGTACTGCAGCTTGCTAAGTAGTTCTGGGGATCAAACCAAAGCTAATGACATAAGGAAAGTCACACAAAGGCATCTGAAGGTGAAAAGAATGGGGAACGGTCTGTATTTTCTTTATAGAATGCTATGTTGTTTTTCTTGTTTACAACCAACATAAGTTACTTTTTCCAAAAATTAACGAATGCTGGGACTAAGGCATGGCTCAAGTGATAGAACTGCTTGCGCAAGGCTGAGTTAAAATTCTAGTACTGGCAAAAAATAAATAAATAAATAAAACTAATGCTCATCTTTAAGATGCTACAAAAAAACAACCAGTCACTTCCCTCTCATTTCTAAGTCAATAAGCTGGTCCACTCTGGTTTTGTTTCTTTTCATATGAGGTTTGATATTTCTAAGTAAATATTGTTTTCCTTTCATGACAGGCAGCTCTCACCATGGAGGATAGTGTAAGTTACTGAACCCTGGGGCTGGATTACCTTATGGGTGTCAATGAGAGACTGCAGGGCCTCTGTGTCATCAGGAAGTGCCCCCCGAAAGCGAAGGGTTTGCTCTGCTTCAGAAAGCCACTCCAACAGCATGTGGACCGTGTCCCGAAACTCTTCTGCCTGAAATAACCAAGCATAAAAGACTAGATCTCTCTCTTCCTCCAAGTTCCTGGACACTGGGGCAAGCCAGAGAAAGGGATGGGACCAAACTTTTTAGTGCATTACAGGCACCTGATGTCAAAGCTTCACAAAGGTCATCTTCCATTTTTAGACCTTTGAAAGTCAGCCAAATTTATTTCTTCAACACAGACAACTGTTAAAATCTTACGGAACATTCAGAAAATCAACTTTTTTACTTTATGTTCATTTTAAGACTGACTGGAACTGGTCCTGAGAAAGAAACTAAACCACTAGGATCCTCTGCCTTGGATCCTAAAAGTCCTGATCAAAAAAATGTTTCTTACCTGTTTTAAGGCCTGCTCAAGTCGGCTTTGCTTGGAAACAGAGAGTTTGCACACAGTGTCCCAGCGAGTGCTTAGTTCTTGGAGCTGCCCTTTTACCCAGGTGGTGTCATCTCGGCTGTTCTCAATCAGTTCTCTCCCTGAGCGCTTCAGGACTTGAACAGTGCCTGTTCGCTTTCCCAGTTCCTTCTGGAAAACCTAGAAAAGAGGATAGGAGAGTAAGTCTGTCTAATAAATATTTTGAGTCCAAGAAGCAAAACCACAGAGAAAGTGCTCACTTTCATAATAGGTTCTAATTATGGGTCTTTTTTTATGCACAGAAGGCAGAATGATATGTAAGAAAGAATCAGAAGATGTGGCTTTACACATTAGCTCAAGCATTTATGAGCTATGTCAATTTGGGTAAGGTGCTAATCTCGAGTCCCAGTTTCCTCATCTGTAAAACGGGATTAATCACACTAACACTTCCAGAATTACGGGAGATAAATAAGACTACCTCTGCAGTGCATAGAGTAAGAATGTGATAAAATTTCAACATAAAGTTGAGTTCTTTTTGCTGAAGCACGAAGATATTATGCAGCTCAAAGCGACAGGTATAGTGCACACATGGTTGTGTGCACGATGTAGGCTTGTTAGGTTTAAAAAAAAAAATCTCCATCTTAGGCATTTCCATTTCAGGCATTAGTGGAAATGGGTCTTGTAAGGGTCTCCTTCTGAATTTAAATTCAGTTGGTAATTCAACCAAAAACAAGTAAGAAGAGGGAGAACCTTAGAGTGAACTTTACACATTACCTAATCTCAATCGAACCAATTTTGGTAGATTCTTTGCAACTGAGGTAGAATCCCACCAAAAGTTGGTTTAAACACACAAAAATAAGAGACTACCTCTCAGCAAAAACAGGTTGTCAGGGTCTCTTTCTCCCCTAGACGGTTAACATAGAGCAAAGGGCACACAAAGCAGAACATATGGCTTTGTCTTACATGAAGCCTAAATCTCACCCCTCACCTTATGGGCATCCATGAGGTTCATGACAAGGTCAAGGTCCCCATGCACTGGCTGGTCCTCAGCCAGCTGTGGCTCCACCTTGTACAGCCAGTCAACCAGGGCCTGCAAAGCATCCATGAACTGGCCAGAAAACAACAGGGCTTCTTCCAGCTTGTGTTGCCTGAGAAAAGCATGCAAACCCCACTGTTTTTACGGATTCTTTTTTTAAATAGCTCATAATTCTGACTGCTGGAATGTTGCGTGAAGAGTGACATCCATGTTACAATAGTTAGAAAGAGAGTAAGTGACTAAAATAGATGCCCAGACATTTTTAATAAAACCTTCTCTAGAATGGATTAAGTGTGGCACAGGGGATATGTATAGATGTTCTTTGCATAGTTTATAATACAACAACACAAGATCATACTCTAACAACCCAAGGACTGTGATAATTACCTTATAGTACTATAAGCAGAGAATGATGGTTTTGGTCCAGTTCAGCTTCTGGCTCTATACCAGTTGTGCTACCCTGGACTATCTCGCTAGCTTTTTGAACCCCATTTGCCTCATTAAAAATTTGGGAGTGTAAATAGTACATGGATGTAATATTTAGTATAACATAGTAGGTATAAGTGGATAAAAGTACAACTCTTAGAACCAAACTGCTTAAGTTCAAACCCCATCTCTGCCACTTTGAAGCTGAGTAGCCTGGGGGGGAGGAGTTAAAAAACATATTTGTTATTATTCTTATTTTTCCTTATCTGTAAAATGGGAATAATAATAGTACCCACGAGTTTTTATGAGGATTACTGATTAGTAGCATTGTTTGGCATACATCTGGTAGTAGCTACTTAGTAAAGGTCAAAGACTTTTATGGTTGAATGCATGCTGAGGATTTGTACCAGATACAGGTGAGAGCATTCAGTAACACAGGTTATTGATATTACAAACTGGCGATTTAAAAATACTTAAGAATTATTAATCTATTACTCTTGGCTTGATTTTATGGTACTTTCCCTTGCTAAACAGTAAAGTACTGGTTAAAACCAAGAATTTTAAGACATTTTCATTCAGATCACCTATAACTCTTTGAATTTAGAATCTCTTAGATTTAAGATGCATTATGTTCATCACTGTTTTAATTCAGTAGAAGTCTCTTAGTTACTTTGGTATGTCATACAGACCCTTGAAGGGAATAATCATGCTCACCGCTCTACAGACTTGCCACAAACAGTATCCCATTTGTCTCTGACTTCTCCCAATAAGTTGTCGAGTTTCTGAGCATCATCGGCAAGCAAAGTTTTCTCTTTTAGTGCTCTACCAGTTCTAATTGTGGTATCATACACAGGCTGCTTGCCACCAAGAGTTTTCTGAAACTCCTATGTTTCCCAAAAGAAAAGAAAAAACATGTTAAAAATCAGATGATGGCACAAAGTCCAAGGTTCAGAAAACAAATGTAATGATTTGGAGGAACAACAACAAAAAAATGAGTTTTCAGGTTAGAAGGCAAACATAGTATGACAAAAACTAAAAAAGCTTTTCTTAAGAAAATCATCATTTTTTATTTATGCCATATGTAACAGTGCATGGAAATTTCTAAAAGCCTATAGTATTGGCTGGTTACTCCTATAATCACTTTGCTTCAACTGCTATTTAAAAGCACAAATCTAGTTAGACAGTGTCTAGATGTAAAATGGAACCCTGGTGCTGGAGGCATGGCTCAAGCAGTAGAGTGCCTGCCTATAATTGTGACCATGAATTCAAATCCCAGAACTGCCAAAAAAAGACACAACAACAACAACAACAAAAAGAAACCCTGGGGCTGGTGGTAGAGTGCTTTCCTGAAATGTACAAGGCCCTAGGTTTGATCCCCAGCACCACAAGCTAATAAAAAAAGGAACCCTGGCTTCATTATCTTGACTCTTTAACATTAATAAATTGTCTTTTGCTTTTAACTAGCTCTGATTTCTGTTTTTAGCAAGCTGTAAGTTTTACTAACTATCAAGCTCAGGACCTAATAACAATTAACTGCTTTACCTTATGTTTAGAAAGCTGAAGTTTGATTTTGTCTGGGTCATTGGATATTTCCAGTTCTGCATCCAGATGACTCTCTGCATCTTCTAACCAATCAATCAGTTTTTTCCAAGCTTCATGGAACTACAATTAAATAAGAAACAAGCTGCAACAGGAGCAAATATGCAAACTGTATAACTTGTTCATAAGAATCATTCTAGATATTCAAGACATGCAGCCCAAGGTTATTTAATAAATAAATGTCTTTCTTTCATAACTTACTTGTTTTGCCCGTTTTCTGGCATCATCTAGTGACCGCCCCCTTTCTATAGATCGCTGGACAACCTTCTCCCACCGAGACTGGACGCTAACCAACAAATTCTTGATCAGAACAACATCTTGTTTTTGGCTAAGGAACTTTAACTGATTTCCGGTTTGATCCAGTTCAATGATTTGGTCTCGATGAGCATTTACTTCATTAGCAAAGACCTGAGGGAACAATTTTGTTCTTTTTAAGCTTAAAATAAGGTAAAGGAGCACTCCTTTCCATGAATCCCTTCAAAAGGTAGGTCATAGTTACCTTGTGTTCCTCTATCTGGGAAAGGACAGTGTTTAGAATCAAGCTGGGGGAAGAAGCAATGTTTAAACTTTGTTCTGCCAGAGTGAGCCAGTTGATAAATTCTTGTAAAGAATTCTGGAATTCTGTTGCCAGGTTGAGAGCTTCTTCCAGCTTTGACTGAATTTTAAATAAAACACACACACACACACACACACAAAAAGTGCCAAATTCAGAAATTATAACTTCAATGACAAAGGCATGAATTATATACCAAATGCAATGAGCTCTAAATATAACCTCCAAACAAATGAAAGGGACATTTAATGTTAGCGGCTGGAACTGAGGACAAGTGGACAAGAACTACGTACATGGAAGGGGAAAGAGGACAATTAGCGGCTAAGTTTTCTTGGCCACTCTCCACTTCCAGGACATTTAAGAGCAGTGTAAAACTATTCAATAAATGTTAATAAATGTTAGTGGTGACAGCCTGCTTGGGCAGCGTGTTTCCTGCCATGTACATTCTGTAGTGTACAGATAACTAAATGAAAAGCTGTAAAGATGATGTTCACTGCAGTGCTTTTTGTTTAAATATGTATTTTCAGAAAATATGGTGCATGCGATGCCTGAGTCTGAAACACATGCTTATGCTACAAGCACAAAGAGAAGCCATGAAATTCTGGGCAAAAATCTAGCCACACTGGATATAAATTTTCAGATAACTTGATCTTAATCAGAGTGGCAAAAATAATAACTCACTCAGGACAGGGGCTTTTCTCTGCGAATACCCCTAAATTCCAGAGTTCACAAGCTCCAGCCTCAGGGACCCCCAACATCTTAGTGATCACTTCTGCCTTTAGCCCACTTATCAGACAGAGTAAAATAATGATAGGCTATTAAAAGTGAATATATCTGAGGGCGGGGGACAAATGACCCAATGTACACACATGTAAATAAATGAATAATTAAAAAAAATACATGTTGAACATGAAAAAAAAAAATGAAGAGGTTCTCAATTATCATGCACGATGCACACATTTTGGCCTGAGGTGCAAAAAAAAAAAACCCTCAAAACTTGATCTTTGTTTAAAACAGATCGGTTTTTCCTGATTTACTGACCCAATTTCCCATAGATTCCAGCAACATCTATTTTGCCACAGTGGAAGAAAAAAGGCTGCTATGCTGAGAAATCTGTGCTAAAGAAGTGATGAATGGAATACTCAAAGACTAGTCCTGTCACAGCAGAATAAATTTCTCCACAAACTCTGATATTTGGGATTTGGGTTTAAAAAAAAAAAAAGTGAATAAATCCAAAATGTTAAAAATAAATATATTTGCAGGAAAAAAACTTTAAAATGTACCCTAAAATATTACTTTCTATTAACTGTAGCTGATTAGGTTACGTGTAATTTTTATTTTTCTTTTCTTGCTTTCAGGTTACTTTTGAAACATCCTTAATAAAAACAACAACAAAAACCCACATATAACGAATATTATAAAAATGTACACAGCTGGGGATGTAGCTCTTTGGTGTTTGTCTAGCATGAGTGAGGCCTTAGGTTGAAACCCCAGTACTTTAAAAAAACCCAAAAAACAAAAAACAAAACCCAATCTAAACAATTGAGGTGGAAAATGAAGTCTATCTCAAATCTATCACAGACATGTTTAAAAACTAATACACTGCAAGTTCCAAGATAGAAAGAATTCTTTCTTTCCACATCGATATATCTCTATGCTTTAATATAGTACCATTCACATTCAATAAATTTTATTGATCCTAAAATGTCATGTTCCTACAAAATCAGATGTAACTATCCTTGATATCTGGGTTTGCTTGATCAGTTCCAAGGATGGGTGATTATGGTTTGAGGCATTCTGCTCCACTATTAGGAAAAAAATTTTTTTGAGACAGTATCTCCTATGTAGCCCAGGTTGGCTTTGAACTTGAGATTCTTTTGTCTGAACCTCCAATTGCTGGGATTATAGATGTGCATCACCACACCTGGCCAGGAAACTTCTTGATTATAAGCCAGATCTGCCTTAGGTTCTAATTCGTTTCAGTTCTGCCTTCTGCAGGAATTATAGATGACAACCTATCCAAGGATTAGAACACAGCCACATACTCAGGTCCTTTGGACATTCTTCCTATCCCAAAATGGCCTAACCCTTCGTAGAAGAATTCCACAAAATTAATGTCTCTCTGAAAATGTTCATTTATATGTGTGCATACCTGTTGTATGTCTTTCTGTCCACTAATTCACATAATGACAGGGTCCATTCAATTAAGTTTTTATGAAGCTTAACACAGTGTCTGATACACATTGCTCAACTATTTAATGAGTGGATATAGTCAACAGGTTTGTATGTATATTTACACCTGATCTGACCAACAAAGAATAGAATGAAACTTTGTTCTCATAAAAAATAATCTTCTGGGGCAAATGCTTTGATTCCTAATCACTTTTCTCTGCTATTACAGAGAAGAGAACTCAGTTTTGGAGAATAATGGGAAAAGGGTGATTTACGTCTTGTCCCCACCCACTCAATTCCAAGTCACCATCTCCAGCAAAACTTTGGGGTTTTTTTGGGGGTGGTATTGGGGTTTGAACTCAGGGCCCGGCTAGGCAGGCACTCTTCTACATGAGCCATGCCTGCAGCCCAAAGCTGTTCTTAAGTAGGAACGCTACTTGGTGATTAATATAGAACATAAAGCTCATCACTAAACAGTAACAGGCAGTGATATCTTAACTGGTAGATGGAGAAGAGGAATGAATAATTATAAAAAGCAGTATCAAAAGAAACTAGTATCATCAATGCAAATTGACACAGATGGAAAATAGAAGATAGCTTGATTAGTACAAAGCCAATTCTGAGGGTATCCATTCTGCAACTTCTTTTTGGTGGGACGGGGTTTGAACTCCGGATTTTGCACTTGCAAAGCAGGCTGGTGCCTTACTGCTTGAGGAACATCTCCAGCCCATTTTGCAGTTATTTTAGTGTTGAGGTCTCTCAAACTATTTGGCTAGGATGGCTTCAAACTTCAATCTTTCTGATCTCTGCATACCAAGTAGTTGAGATTACAGGCATGAGCTACTGGTGTTTGGCTTACAACTTCTGTTACAATATATTAGCCTTAGAAAAATCTTCACGGAAACAATATGGCAATTACATGCAATCACTAAACAAACTGTGTTTTGTGCTGATACCTTTCTTTCTTCCATCTTACTGCTAACTATATGCCACTTCTGTTCCAAGAGTACCACACTCTGCTCTGTTTTAGAGCCAGACCCAGAATCGTCACGGCTCAGGAGCATGAGCCTGCCCTTGTCAAGCAAATGATTATAAGTCTCCTCCTTGGCTTTCAGCTGGGAATAGAGTTCCTAAAAGAAAAGACAGGAAAAACATTGATAATACCCATTCCCGGAAGACACCCCACTCCTCCCCCCAACCACAGATTCATTAACAATCTGAAAAAATCCAGGAAAGCCTCATCTTGATTTAACAGGCTCTTTTGGATTCAGTTCGATGGCTGAGCTGTTATGAAGTAAAGTTCACTATTTTTCCTTAATACTAAAATAATTTTGTCACCAAGTAAATATAAAGATTTTCTTTTAGGAGCAAATATCACAAAAATAGTCCTCAGAAATTTCCTGTTTTCATGAAGGATTTGCCTAGAAATGATGTTGTCTTTTGTTCTCAGCATGCTTTCTTGAAATACTGTTAGAATCTGTCTGATTTTTCTAAACTCCCACCGAGTAGTCTTCTTAAATACAAACATATTTGTGGTATGTATTTGTCTGGGAGATGCTCCCACCTTCTAGATAATATTGTGTACTTAATAAATAGATCAACTTAAAATTTACTAGCTTACCAAGGCATTTTGAGGCAACTCTTCCCTTTACTACTGCTGCCCATGGCTTGGTAGTGAAGTTTGTAGATGAGCAGCAATACCCAAGGTTGTACTACACTACTGATAAAAATGCACTAGTTTTGTAGATTCCCAGATATACATTGCTTTGAACTCAGAAAGAGGCTACTGAATGTGGGATGCTTATGATTAATTGGAAGAAACTGTTGTTACCATGTGTGTATCAAGCTGCTCCCTAGCAGTTTCAGGAAGTCCTCCTGTGGGCTTAGAGGCAGAAAGCTGGCTCTCCATTCTAGTCAGTTCCAAGAGGAAATCTTCAATTTCACTGTGGAAACCCTGGGCCTTTTGAGAAAAAGACATATTAGCAGTGTCAGCAGGTATTTCTCAGCTTCAGAAGTAAACTTTCTAAATCCTATAAAGGATTTATTGTGAAGTCGGGATTTGGAGCTGCTCTCAGGCACAGTGGTTCTGTTGCTGGATTGGCATAGTCTATTTATTGTTAGGATTTAGCAGAATCCTTCAGCCCTCACTATTGCAAAGTATAGATGTCTAATAAAATCTGATAAATGGACTGACTAAGGCACTGTTGAATAGGGAGGGACTTGACCCAATCCAGGAAAAACCTGAATCTCTAAACAAGGCTGATTATAGTAAATAGTAAATAAAGAAACTGAGCTATAAACCAATCCAAAGCTGCTCTTTTCAGACAAGTTTCACAGGGGTTCTACCTCAAATGCTTTCCTTTCTCTGACTTCCCCAAGTGCTGCAATCTGCACAGCTCTTCTTACCTCGCTTGCACGACGCACATACCTGCTGTAGTGTTGACTGAAGCTGCTGCTCCCTCTCTTCTGTTTTCTGCAGCACTGACTCCCAGCACTGGTTCATAGTTTCCAAACGGCTCCTTAAGCTGCTGGCATCATCTCCAGCACTAGATTCAAGAAGTTCATTGCCAGCTTTGTTGACTGTTTCCACTGTGGCTTGATGAGCCAAAACATCATTTTTAAGAACCTGAAAAATGTTGAATGACATAATTTATATCTGTAAATACCATCAAGCCTGGTTCCTTAAGGTACACACAACATTGGAAAGCTTCTGTGGCACTATCCGGTCTCAAAACAACAGAGTTAGAGATGAAAAATGAAAATACTTACATGGTGCTTTGCAAGTTCAACTTCAATGACTTTTGGGTCTCCACTTATTGGTCTCTGAGCATCTAGCAATTCTTCAGTGTGAGTCAGCCAACTCATTAGTTCCTCTAAGGCATGCTGGAACTGGCCAAGGGCCAAGAGAGCACCTTCTAGCTTATGCTGCTCAGAACAAGACAGAAAAGGAACATTTGTTAGGAGATTATAAAAGGGCAGACAGAAGCTCATTTATGTACTGTACCATTCACTTTACCTGTCTGTGGGCAATTTTCTCACACAGGTTCTCCCAGAGGTGTTTGAGTTCTGTCAGTGGTTCTCGTATAATGTCTCTGTCTGTTTCATCAGTAGCTTTCTTTAACATCAATTCGCCCTGGTGATTGAGCTTCTCCATCTCAATTTGCTGTTGGTAAACTTCAACTTTGAATTCCTATCAAAGATGCACTTAATGTTAATATCAAAGCTAGTCTTTAATAACTACAAAGAAGCAACTCTTCTTCTAAAGCCATTCTTGGATACAAACCTTCATCTCATTTAACTGATCTTTGACAGTGTTGAGGTCCGTGCCCACTGGGGGCATGGTGCATAGTTTGATCACAGTGTTATCTAGCCAGTCAAACATAGCCTAAAAAACAAAAAAACAAAAAAACATAAAAACAAAAGTAAAAAACAAGAACCTAAGAAGTTGGGAGAGATTAGCATTAGCCTTGCCAATGTTGTGCTTTACAATAATCTGGGTTTAGAACCTCTAGCAAGCAGTGACTTCCACAAAAGACTAGCTTTATTGGTTAGCTGAATGAGTATCATCATAAATATGATGAGTATGCAATGATGATAAAAATGTCAGGAGTACAAACTTGAACATATGGCAGTACTGTTCTTACTAGAAGTGGAAACATCACTGACTTGGGTTTGAGAATGTTCCAGTGCTGTGGAAGTGATTCACTCTTGCACCAAATTTGGAAAATGACTAAGGGAAAACACAACTTGTACTTCTTTGATAATCATTTCCCAGCCTCTCACCTGCAGAGTGTCCTGATACTGCACAGCAGCTTGCATGGCATCCTCAAGTTTTTCCAGCCTTTCTTTCCATGTTTTGTTTAAGTTCTCCCAAGCATTATTCATCTGGGGAAAAACATTCAACCAGATTCTTTTAATACTACTCTCCAGTCATAGCTCACTAATATTTTATCTGAGTTCTTTATCCATTCCCGTACCTCATCAATGCTCTTCTTCACTTCAGGCTTCTCAGTTTCTCCACAGGCAAAAATCAAATCTGCTCCAAGGATTCGAATGAATTCCAACTCCTCATGCAGACCATCTGTCTCCTCCTTAATAGTCTACATGTACAGGAACAGAACATGAGCCAAAGCAGAAAGCAAAACAGAATCTCCCAAACTTTGCAAATGCAGCATATACCCCATCAAGAACAAGCATTGAACAGAACCATCAAATTCATGAAAGGTTTTGAATGAACTTTTATCTGAATAGTGCAGCTATCCACTCCTAGTGTCATTGTTGACACAAGAATATGAAATGATGTTAAAAATGTCAGGAGGACTAGAAATGTGGGTAGTATGGGAAAAGTGCAATGATCTCCAACAATTTACCAATGGCTCATTCTTTCTTGCCTCCAAGGAATTATAATCTATAGCCATAAGTCTATTATGGAGAAGTATACAAATAAGGATGAAAGAAATAACCCAGTCTAAGTCACAAATGTCAGCGATGATGGTCCAGAATAATAGGAGTGCTGGGCGTTATAACCTTGAAAAAGTCAATTCTATGCCAGATCCTAAAATGTGATTCATGGACTAACACTGAGAGGGATGATGAGGGGGAGTTTCTATAAGAAAAAAATACCTGAAGTAAAGAAATAAGAAATATAATGGCAAGATAGGCTTGGCTTATGCTAAAAGGACAAGAGATGAGGACTATATTAGCAGCTAACAACATACTTAGGGCCTAGAGCCTTAGCTCAGTGCTAGAGTGCTTGCCTAGCATGCATGAGGACTGGGGTTCAACTCTCAGCATTGGAGGGGAGTGGAGGGGAGAGATTAAAAAAAAAAAAAAAACAAAAACCCAAAGAAACCCAAACCAAACCAAACCAAAACCCCCTCAAAAACATAGTAGAGTACTTGCCTAGCATGTGTAAGACCCTGGGTTCAATCCCCAGTACAGGAAAAAAAAAAAAAAAAAAAAAAAAAAGGGAAAACAACAAACTAAAAACAAACAAAACAAACAAACACCAAAGCAACAGCAAACAAAACAGAACAAAACTTGGATGAACTGCTTTGCTAGAGGATGCATGCAAAGTGTGCTTCCCCCCACCCCACCCTTTTTATTACCTCAGCAGCTTCGACCTGCTGCTTGATGATGGATGGGTCAATGCCTGGGCTTTCCAAGTCATGGACAATATCCTGGGTGTCTTTGATGGTGGTCAGGAGAGCTGCCATATCATACCAGAACTTCTCCGCTAATTCAAGGACATCAAGGAATTTCATTTCTCGCTCCTCAGCCCGAGCTTTGATGTCCTCCCAGAAGAATACCATTTGATCCAGTTTGTCCTGGATTTCTGAGGAGGTAGAGATGTGAATAGTACTTCTTCAAGTACTTGAAATTAGAAGTTCCATCTAGGGCTGGCAGAGTAGCTCAAGTGGTAGAGCACCTGCTTACCACTTGCCTGCAGGGCCCTGAGTTCAAACATCATTACAGCCAATAAAATAAATAAATACATAAAGAAATGCCACAATGTTCCCCTACCTGGCACAACAATAAAAATAACACATTTTTCGGTGAAACTATCCTTTAAAAATAGCTCCAAATTTTAGAACTTAGGGCAGTTTTCCTCCTCAGCTTTATCACTATTCTTTCTACATTAGCATACTCTGTTTATGTTGGTCCCTCACAAATAGAGATCATAGAAGTAATCTGTAAATTTCTAACATAAAGGTATTGCTAAGATAAAACCCTTAACTTACAAAAAGGCTGAGATGGGATCTCTTCTTTTTATCAGCCTGTGTTGAACTTTGTATATGTTTCCCAAGGACAGGGTTATAAGAGGCAGTTATGTTCTACCCACTATTGATAGTGCAGTTTACTCACAGCAGGGGCTAAAGGAGCATTTATTTCCTGGCCTGGGAATCTAGCTACCAATTGTAACTTTGTTTCAATGGGAAAAATGTGTTCTGAATTCTAAATGACTTCCATATGACTTTCTGGAACACTCTACTTGGGAACAGCCTTTACATTCAATGAAACACATCTGGTAGAATACTGGAGATAAACACAGCCTGGAATTTATTCTACTGACTTAAAAAAAAAAAAAAAAATTAGATCTAGCAAGCACCTTTTGCAGCCAGATCCTTGTCTGCTCCTTGAGATCGTCCAATGAGCTCTTCTCCACGGCGCTTCAGAGCCTCAAAGGATGGCTGCAGTTTTTCTAATTCCATGGTGGCACTCTTATTGTCACTAATGCACTCTCTGATCTTGTCTACTTCAGCAGGGATCAGGGGTGGCATACGCAGGCGAGAGGAAAGATTCTCCAGAGTCTCCAACATTGGCTCGATTTTATCATGGAACTAAACAAAGTTGGAACATTAGCCATCATAGTAAAATACTTCTTGGAGAAATGTTAGGGTACAAGGAAAAGGTATAAATTTATTACTATTTAGGATAACCTGTATTCAGCATAGGCCAATGGCTTTAAGTGTTGTGTCTGGCTAAGAAACAATTTGGGACATAGAAAATCAGAGCTGAGCAATCAGAAGAAAAAAAAAAGGACAATATTTATTTTAGGAGTCAAAACATTAAGAAATATACCAGAAATCAACTCAAATTATTGTTGTCACTAGAAACAACAAACAGGAGTTGCTTCTCCTATTCCAACTAACAACGAAAAAGGGACAAGACTATGAAACTGGTGAGAGTCAGTATGTCAACATCTCAGATGACAGTTGCATGCAACAGACTAGACCAAAAAGTTAGATGACCTCCATCAGCTATGTAAATGAATGGGAAACTTAATATGCTGCGTGAGTTGGAGTTTAAAAGTATTGTGGCATGCAATTTAACAACCCACCATATGAACAGTGAGAGAGGATATGTTGGCATGATGAAAGGTAATTAAGGAAGGTCAACTCTAATCTTACTCTAAAAGAACCATTACCTTCCCATTTTCTGGTATTTTGAATAATGTGACTATACTTATAAATTCTCTTTTATAATCTGATGCAGAGAAGGGAGAAAAGAAAGCAAAATGGGTAGGCTTGCCTCCTAAAAACACTACTTAAAACCAACTAAAAAACACTACCTAAAACCAATTCTGGATTCATTAATTTGAGTATAAGTCTTATCAATCTGAAGTATCCTACAGGAAAATCAAATTTCTTTAACAAAATTACTTCCTGTTACTCCCTCATTTGTAGATTCTACCCCAAATGAAACTGGCACTAATCAAATTTACTCCACTGACATTATAGCTAACACCCTCAACTTATAGTTATATAAGAATACCCTAAAACTGCAAGCTAGTGGCTCATGCCTGTAACCCTAGTTACTTGGGAGACTGAGATCAGGAGGATCGTGATTAGAGGCCAGCTTGTGCAAATAAGTTCATGAGATGCCCCCCCCACTTACCGCCCCCACCAACCTCCAAAATAACCAGAACAATGGACTAGAGATGTGGCTCAAGTGGCAGAGCTACTGCTTTGCAAGCACAAAGCCTTGAGTTCAAACCTGAGTCCCACCAGAAAAAAACAAACAAACCAAAAAACCCTAATCCCAATTGGGGGTGAGTACCTTACCTCTGTAATCTGTAATGGTGGGCGCAGTCAACACAACAATGAAATGTGACGATGTGGGGAAGACAGGAGCAGGCAGCAACAACACAAAGTAACACATTCCACAATGTGAGTGAGAGATGAGACGGGAGGTGGGGGGAAAAACTTGAGTAAGTACAAATATTGACCAAGAATACTGACTAAACATAGGAATATAATACCCAGACACGACAAAAGTACTATTAACAGTAATACATTAGTTGAAAAGTATGCAGTTACATGCTTTAAATTCCACTGCTGGCAGTTTATGCTTCTCTTCAACTTATTTCTCCCTACTGAAGCATCTTTCTCTGAACTAAAAAGTTGGTTGCTTCTTGAGCAAGAAAGCTAATGTGTTGTCGTTCTAAATCTCAAAAATAACAGGCCGAATAGGAACCTGACTTTTGAATCTACATGATAAAGTTATCCCAAATAATCCCTGCTAAAGGACCATTACAACATGAAGCTTTCAGGGAAACTATCAATAAACATCAGCCAAGATACATCTTGTCCTCCACAGAGTGTCAGCCTACCATGTGCTTCCTAGTCTATCCATAAGGTCTTACTGACATGCTGGTCTGGACACTCCTGGCAGGGAGACCTCTTGCTCAGACACACACATATACCTGAGCAGACTGGGAAACAGCCTCATCCAGAGCCAGGGCCCGTTGCCGCACCTCTTCTTTTATTTGAGCATACATGCTTTCTGCTTTCTGGTATTTTTCTTCCACCATTTTCCCTTCTTCAGAGTTTAATTCTTTTAGTTGTGGGCCTATTTTTAATAGTTTATCAATATGAGGTTTGTGTTCAGCAATGGATTCCCTTAGTTGCTATGGAAAGAAATATGGATTAAGACACAATGAGTAGAAAATAAATAAGTGGTAGCGCACAAATTTAGCACACATGAGGTACAGGGTTAGATCTCTAGCACCATGAAAAACAAGTAAACAAACCCCCAAAATATGAACACTTTTTTGTACCAGTTTATTTGTTTAGGTACTTTGATCAGCACTAATACCAACTTCCACAGGAGCAAACTGAATTGTTAAAAACCACCAAGTCTCAACACATTACCATTTTTGTGGAAACAGAAAAACATGCAAGTCTTGGGCTCTGATGCTATCTAATTCTCTTAATTTTCAAAAACCAGTTCAGATGTGTCATCATCATGGAAGCCTTCCTGGACACATCCTTTCTCACTCTGCCAAGCCAGTCACACCATTCTATCCCGCCCTCTTCTGTACTTATATATGCTTTCTATGTACCATATTGTAATTTACATGGTTTAATACTGGTTTATCACCCCAGACTGAAAGATACTAAATAGGGTAAATTATGTATAGCAATCATTCTGGTAATCTAACTACTTTTTGACGTTCCTGATACTTCTAGGTCACATCTTCCACTTACAGGAAAATGGGGATAGTAATATGCACAATAAACATTACTGTTGAAATGTCTATAAATTTCCCTTTCATCTTAATGATATTCAGCAAATGCTGTCTGATAATTCCTTCCCAACTCTACTTTAGTCGGAGCCTAGCCAAGTGGAAACATCCAACCATATCTAAAGTCTGACATTATCATCCTCAGAAATATTTTAAATTTCTTTGGTTTTTAGATAGCTCTTTTTTTTTTTAGTAGTACTAGGGATCAAGCCCAGGGACTTGCACATGCTAGGCAAGTGTTTTACCACTGAGCTACACCACCAGCCCTACTTAGTTCTTTACCTCTGTTAATACACAGGTTCTCGATACTTCTATAGTCTTATTATTTAATCAACTCATATTAAATGATGAGGGAAATAATTCAGAATGTATTTTTATCGTGAAAAGAAATTCTAAGCTGATTAAGAATGAACTTTATAACATAAAACTTGCAACCAATAGACACTAATAAATATGCTGTTTTTGAATAAATTACAGAGACCATTTTAATTCTGCAATAAAATAAAAGGTGGCATGTCCCTTACCCTCATTTCCTCTTGCTGCTGCCTGAGCTGTTCATGATCAATTGCTGGAGGAGGTAACTGTGCTATTAGTCCCCGAGTTTCCTCAATCCAAGGGCTAAGCTCTTCGTAAGTTTCCCAAAACTGGTTCACCAAGACTTGTGCTCGCTCTAGGCGGGCATAACGCTCTGAATTGAGTAGACTAATGGCTTCATATTGTTGTATTAGACACTCTGTCTTTTCCTTTGAGCCAAAACCAAAAAAGAATATTATGAATCATTCTTTCAAGAAAAAAAAAAAGTGTAGGTATATATACATTAAGAATTCTAAAGGAACACACACAATATTATTACCCACTATGGGGTAATCTAATAAGATTTCAAGTGATTTTTTTTTTCTTCTCTTATTTATTCAAATTTTCTAATTTTCCTAGCATACATGTGTATTTCTGTAATTTAAAAAAATTTAGTTTTAAGCTGGGTACTGGTAGCTCGTGCCTGTAATTCTAGCTACTCAGGAGGCAGAGATCAGCAGGGTCATGGCTCAAGGCCAGTCCAAGCAAATAGTTTTTGAGACCCTATCTCAGAAATACCCAACACAAAAAAGGGCTGGAAGAGTGGCTCAAGTGGTAGAGGAAATGTGAAGTCTCAAGTTCAAAGTCTAGTCCTGCCTATTCCAACCCGCTAAAAAAATTACTTTTAAAGGTAATTTAAGAAAAGCACCACAAAATTAACTTTTTAGCAGTAATACACAATAATGATACAGCATTACTATATCAGAATTATAAAGCTGAACATCTCAGAGGCTATGATAGAGTATGCTAATGAAAGACAACTCTATTGATTTCTAAGGATATATCAGTTAGACATAGGCTTTATTTTTGAAACAGGGTCTTGTTATTTAGCCCAGATTGACCTGGAATTTAGGATCCTCCTGCCTCAGTCTCCCAAGTGCTGGTGTTAGAGACATATGTTATAATACTTTGCCCTACTGTATTATTTTAAGAAACCAAAACTGATGTATAAACTATCTTGACCAGTCCTTTCTTTACAAAAATAGATATGGTCTTTAGGAAGGAATTAATATCTAAATATAGTTCTGAAAAACCTACTATAAATACTATAAAAAGTCACTCAAAACATTCCTATGAACTGAGGATAAGCAGCAATTGCTCTGTTATAATGAAAAAAGATTTAAAACATATTTCATATTATGTAGTATAGCTGTTTAGACATTTGTGAATAACAGGGTCAAGAGTCTGAAGGACATCCAGTTGGAATTCAATCAACATCAGTGAAAAGAAAGTTCAAGAAGAAAGAAACTTTAAAATATTATTTTACAATTGTACTTGTTATTTACCATGACGAAGAATAATATGATGATAATAACTATAATTCACCTGTAATACAGCTTTCTGTTCCTCTCCACATGTCCCAAAGATTTCACCACGGTGACTGAAGAGTTCATCCATTAAATCTTTGTGGCGAATGATGTCAATAGAGAAAGCCTTTGAAAAGTAAATGTTAGTTAAGTCAAGAAGTAAAAGGACCCTGAGTCTGTGAAAGGTTAAGATATAACCTATGGAAAATTCCATTTAAAGACAAATAAAAATTTATTCTAATGAAGTCTGACATTTTTGTCTATCCAACATCTTTAATTCTTGCTTACCTTTTTGGTAGCTTACAAAAACACCTTTCCTCCTAAAAATTATCTAGGAAATTGCTAACTATTCTTTCCTGGATTAATGGGCCCAACTTATCCTTTTCCATAAAGAAAAAAAAATGTTTTTCCTCACCCCAACAAAGAACATATAAAATTAATTTCTATCCACTATCATTCTATTAAATCATTCCACTTGACTTTTTCCAGGTCACTCTAAGATACTGATGATTTAACTGTCTCTGGACACAGGGAGAGCTTTGGATTTCATCCTTACCTTCTGTACCTGCAGCTGAGCTGTGGTTTGGTCCTGTTCTAGGCGAATTGGACCCAGTGCCATGAGTTTCCGTTTTGTTTCAGCAACCCAAGCTAGTTCTGCATCAGCAGCCTGTTCATACTAAAATATGTATCGAAGAAAAGTGAGTAAGTTAACATACAGCTAAGGTCTCCTCCTGAGAAACGTAATTCATTCAACACAGAAAGGCCTGGATTTCCAGTAACAGTTTTTATCTCACAAAGTCAAAACCGAGAAGAATTTCATAAAAGTCACATATCAAGAGGCACACAAATTAGAATTGATCACATTTCAACTCCTTTTAAAAGAAGTTACAAATCACAGCAGGTGGCCCTACAGTTAGAAACAACAGAAACTGACATCTTTCAAAAGAAATACGTTTTTCATCAGAGTGCTTTTGTGAAGCTTCACTTTCTGCCAATCCTCTTTCCTACCCCAACACTGAGCAGTAGTAGTTTTAGTTAGATGTTTAAATATAAACTTAAAATGGCCACCGGCAACTGAGTAAAGTTAACTTGGAAGTACCTGCTTAGCTGGAGAAGCACAAGACCCCAGAACACCAAATCTTTAAGTGGCTATGCAACAAGGAAACCAAGAACATGTTCCAAGAACTGCTGATCATGGGGGATCACTCAGTCTATACTCTCTTCCTCTCCAACTCTGCCAGTCTATGCTAATACAGACTTGGTACCCCTTATCAGAGATGCTTAGATACAGAAGTGTTTGAGATGTTAGAAGTTTCTGAATACTGGAATACCAGTACAGACAATTCTACTGGTTGAACATCCCTAATAAAAAATTTTAAGTTATGGATTTTGAAGCATTTTGAGTTTTCAGATTTTCCAGATTTCTGCTTGTATTTAAAGAGGAAAGTAAGCTTCTCCTAAATTGAATATTAAAGTGTCTGGTCAAGAATAGGGATTACCCTAAAGACACACTGTAAAAATGTACTTGGCGTCAGAAAAAACTTGCATGGTTCAGAAAGCATTTGCTTATCACCATAGATCCAAAGAGTCATGTTATAATAATATCTTTTTGTGCTATGGCACATAATAGGTGCATATCTAGCTGAGTGTGTGATGGTGTATGCTGGTAATTCCAGCACTCAGGAGGCTGAGAAAGGAGGATTTTGAGTTCGAGGCCAGCCTGAGCCACAAAGGGAACCCTGTCTTAAAAAAAAAAAAAAGTGCATATCCAGCTATGGAATAAAGTAGGTAACTTTTTCTCCCTCCAGAAGCAGGAAAGAAAAAAAGATCAGGAGAAATATGACACCTGTGTTCACTGAGAGGTTCTATTTTAGATTGCTTTGCTATTTTGGTTTGCATATTTAATAGTAATTATAACTCTTGGCTCCATCCCCTCTTACATGCTAATACAGTTTGATTATGTCAAACTAAGATGATGATGCACTGGACTTTTTGGTTCTACTTATTATCTACTCCCATCACTGCTGGACCAATCATTAAGAAAAGGTCATTACTTGGGTGCAGTGGCTCATGTTTGTAATCCCAGCTACATGGGAGGCAGAAATTAGGAGGACTGAGGTTTGAGGCTAGCCCTGGGGGAGAGGAGGAGTGAGACCCCACCTAAACCAATAAGCTGGGCATAGTGGTGCACACCTTTCATTTCAGCTAAACAGGAGGCATAAATAGGAGGACCGTGGTCCAGACTGGCGTGGGCAAAAATGTGAGCCACTGCACAAAAAAATAAAGTAAAAAGGGCTGGAGGCATGGTTCAAGCTTGTCTACCCAAAGATGTCAAATGTTTTTGGATCAAATCTGGATCCACCCTCATAAACCTCTATCCAATCATTTCTCATCACTGAAATACATCTGTTGCATCATATTTATCTTGATCTCATTATTCTTATTATTGAGCCCATACTTAGGTAGGTCAACAGTACTGAACCTCACTTATCCATCTTCACTGCCTAAAACATTAATGCAGGGCATTATAAACATTACCTGTTGTGATCTCTGAATAGCAGCATCAATTTCATCCACTCTTTGTCCAATAGTGTCGCTGATCAGTTTGTACTGCTCGTTGGCATCAGACACAAGTTTATCTAGCCCTTCTCTGGCTCTCCAGGGCACCAGCTCTAAGAGAGCACGGCTCACCTCATTCACTGTGTCCAACACCAGCCTGTGCTCCATGACCTCCTTCTTCAATTCCTAAGGAGGGAAAAGGTTTTCAGGCCATACTTTGCTAAATAAAGCACATTAGCAGCTGTGCTGGGTAGAAAGTGCTATCTCTACACACATCCCAGCAGGGCACTGACCTCTTTCCTTCAGTTATTTTTTTTTTCTTGTCTCAGATTTTTCAATCATTCTTAAGCCTGAATTTAGGCTTAGCTTCTGCTTACTTAGAACTGTCCGCAAGGCTTGAGCCAGACTGTCTGTGGGTAAAACAAACAGTACTCTGTCCGTCCTCCCTTGCCCCCCACCATTACTTTAATAGAAATGAAGAAATATGTTTTAACCACAGTCATTTAACTTAACAAATATCGACACAGTATTTCTGTGCATCTAGAACTTCGACAGATCCTGCAGGAGAATCAAATATAAGCACAAAGCATGAAGGTAAATTATGTTACATAGCAAGTAAACTTCCAAGGGATTTGGGATTCAACTTCTTCTTCAGACCATAACAAGAGTCCCTATATATGTCTTTATGTCAAATCTTACTGTCCATGAGCAAACAAGAGAGAAAGCAGGTTTTTGGTTTTGATTTAAGGGAAAGGTGATGAAACAGAATTCTGACAAAGATGAAACCTTTTTATTCCTTTTACAGTGTGGAATGATGGCTCACCTTCTGTCTTTGTTGAAACTGGGGTATCTGCTCCCCTGTGGGAGACTGTCCTCCACTGGTTGCCAGCTCCTCCTCCACCTCCCTTAGCCATGCAGTCAGTTCTTCATATGTAGACTGAAACTTAGTGGCCAGCTGCCGGGCTTGCTCTAAAGTCCGGAGGGCCTTGGAACTAGTGACTGTGATATCTGCGTAGCGGGTCTTTATTCCATCCAGTTTCTCCTGGATAAGTAACACCTCTTCACCTGTGGAGAACAGCACAAAGCTATTCATATTTAATAGCTCTGGGGATAAGGCTGTCCCTTTAGTGCCCTGACTTCAAGCTAGAGCTTAAATTTTATAGGTCTCTCTGTGGTTATGACTCTACCTAATATCCCATACTAAGGATAAGTGGGAAATAAACCTTTCACTTGATAAAGGAAGCCACTTCTGAGCTTAAGAGCTAAGTTTAGCTGCAGGAGTTTCTAGGTATTCCAGAACCTTGCTAGCATTCAACATACTGAAGGGTAGGAGGAATCATCATCTATAACTAAATGTGAGAAAACTAATGATTTGGCAGGAAATAGGAACATAGGTCATCAGCCTTTCTGGAGCACATGGTAATATAATCAGTAAATACTAAGTTTTCTCATATATAAAAGAGAAGTAGCTAATGCAGGGTGCTTACTTCTTTGGATGCATAACTGTCTTTGAGACCAGAGATGTGCTAAAAGATGCACTTTTCAAAGTACCTGTGGTTTGTTTTAGAAGAGCCTGACCATTTTTAATAGCTTGATCTACATTCTTCTTTCTATTAACAATCTCTTCATTTAAAGCCTGAAAGGAAAGAATATCATTAATTCCAAAACTATGTCACAACAAAGGAAAGAAATGTGAGATCTTGAGGGGAGGGGGTACTATTAGGAGGGGGAAGGATGAATGGAGATCAAGGTGAGGGTATGTGGTTGATAAACTTCATATAATTATATGAAATAGAACAAAGAAATTTCTTGCAATTGCTTTAAGTGGGGCAGGGAGGGGGCTGAGGAGGAGAGATGGTAGAGGTGATCTAATTGTCACAACGAATTCCCCCTGTACAACGAATATATCCTAATTAAAAAAAAAAATTAACCAAAAAAAAAAAAAAAAAAAAGAAAAAGAAATGTGAGATGTTTAAGGCCAAATTTAAAGAGTATCAGTTCGGTTTAAAATTAGGTATTTGATTCCCTTATTATTTACTTGATTATCCCACTGATTATTCAAAATACTTAAGTTGGATACTTTTAGGCAAGCTTTTTATTTATGCTGGATGAGAAAAGATTTAGTATTAAATTGGCTTTACCAAACTATCAGTACTAAACCTGAACCCAAAAAAGGTAGAAGTGAAATTCATCAAAAATATCCACTATGTCCAAAATAAAGAGTAAGACAGAAAAGTCAAAAGAAGTGGGTAAGAACTGGTTGACTTAAATCGAGATCCTGGTAAAAATTCTCCCTATGTGAAGTTGATGAAGGAAAAGAATTTTGATTATTGAAAAAATTGCCTTGCTTATTTTTACTACCCTCAAAAAGTTTCCATAAAAATAAACTGAAATAGGGATGTGGGACATGGCGTAAGTGGTAGAGCGCTTGCCTAACCAGCATGTGGCCCTGAGTTCAATCCCCAGTACTGGTGGGAAAAATTTAAACAGTCATGTTCTTTCATTTAAGATGACACTGAATCCCTGGAATTTGAGTATATAAATTCTAGAAATACTCTGAAAGTTACAACCACATGATCAAGTCCTTAGCACTATTTAAATTTATTTGGTTTTGTTAAAGTACATTCTCTTCCATAAATCTGCTCAAATGGAAACCTAGTGATATACTACTGCCTAATGATGTAAAGAATGAGTTGGAGGTGAGATGGGCACTGACTACATATACCCTGCACCATCTTATAGAATTACTCAGTTTGTTAAATATAAATATTTTCATGGACCTGTCCAAAAAAGATTAGTACTTAGCACTAAGTACACTATGTACTTATGCATAACATAAAATTGAAGTGTTTGGAATGAAGAACAAAAAAGAAAAGACATGAAAAAAACCACATTATCAAAATGACAAAATAACTTAGTAACATAACCAATAAGAATGGAAAACACAAATACCAGATGGTCAGCATGCTGTTTCTGTAGGACATCCTGTCTGTAATCCTTTATGAACACTGAACTGAGCTTGTCCTCAACCTCAGCCAGCCAGTTGAGCACCTCCACCTCATCTTCCCCAAACAGTCTAGCATTGGACAGTGCTTGTTCAAGCAGGGCTGCCTTCCGACAGCACCAGTCTTGAATCTCACTGTATCGGGCCTGCAATGAGTCTAGCTTTTCTGACAGCACACCCTGTTCTGCAGGACATGTCAGGGAGGAGAGGGACTGCCCAATTTTGACTGCCTGGTGCACATCTGTTCCATGGTTTTCTATTTCTTCCTTCAGAGCCTGGAAATCCAGATGGAAAAAAATGAATAGCAGAAACAAAACAAATGAAAGGCAAACATGAAATAAATAACAAATGATATGACAAATTAAATAATAAAAACATTCACCTACTGCAGGGCAAAAAGAATATAAGAAGTGGAACAAAGGCTGTCTTGTTTGTTTTTTCACTGATGGTAGCCTATTAATTTCTACTTCTACTTCAATGATAATTGACCATATTTTATATTAAACTCTAAAGCCCATAAAACACATCTTTTAGAACGTTACAGGCAGTTCTTTAATTTCTAGGATTTCTTAACCCTCACCCCCACCCCTGCCAATTTCTGAGTTTCGTTTACATGAACTCCTTCCTACCTTATGCCGAATGATCTGCTGCTGAATTTTGGCAGTCTGAGTACCAACAGGTTCTGAGTTAGCAAGTTTTTTCTCTGTGACAGATAAGAAGTCAGAAATAGGCTCAGTTGTCTCATGGAATTGTTTGGCCAGAACCAGGATATCTTCCAGTTGTTTTTGCCTACACAAATATATAGAATAAGTTGCTCAGGCACAAAGTCATATTAAGACTCATAAAGTATCAAATTCAGTAAAAGAATAGTATTTACCACATATAGTTTAAATATCAACAATAAACAGAACACATATTAGGTACTAATTTACTGTTGTAAAGGTTTTTTACAGCATTTCTTTATTTTGATCCTGTCATAATATGTAAGGTAGGCAGGATAATTACTCCTCTGCTATGAAAGAGACAATTGGCCCTGAAGATAAAAACATTTCTCCAGTTACCCAATGAGTTGTAGCAACAGTAGAATGAGGGCTAGAATTTCATACTTGCTAGGCAAGCCCTCTACTACTTGAGCCATGCCCCTAGTTTGTAGAATCAGATTTTGTAATGCTCTATCTCCTTACACCATCTCGATACATGTCAAAATGGAATATAGCATGAGTACCACCTGAACATGTGGTCAAAGTTAAGTTTAAGGGAGTCAAAAATCACTAGTCTTCATGTATATCATTGCTACCCTACACATGTCAGTGAAGAATATCTGAAGACAAAGGTAGTATAATTCCAGGATCTAGAATTCATTCCTCAGCTCCAAAAATCCAGTCAGGCTTTTGGCAATTTGAAGCCTAGAACATAACTTTGAATCCAGATTTATGGCAATAATAATAATAATAACCCCAAACTGGCCAAATCTGTCACTCGAACAGCAGCCAAAAGCAAAAGCAAAAGCATACACTTTATTGCTTACTTTGAATCTTAACTCTCATTTACTATTAAAATCCACACTAAGCTTGGGTTTCAAGAACTCTATAGATTAAAAGCAACAAATTATAAAAGGGAGAAGGGCCTGAATGAGGAAGCTTGAGAAGGCAGACAGTAAAGTTACTACCATTACCCAGATTTGTAATGGAAGGCTCTAATGCTGATTTTGCATTACTAAATACACACTGAATTTGATAACATTTGGAAAGGCTTGGGATCATGTGATGTACTTCAGTAAAACTTTACTTAATGCCTGTTTTGTGTCAGGTCTAATCTGGTTACACTCTAACAAACTTATTTTACTAAGAAATGGTTTAAATAAAGAGATTTAGCATTTTAATTATCTAGAAATTCAATTATATTTGAAAATAAAGAAAAACATATTCTTAGATGCAAGCATTTTAAAGTTATAGCTTAAATACAGGATTTCCTTTCCTAGTTTATGCCAGCCTTCGAAACAGATCTTGAATCAATGAAACTAAAACATATTATCATAAATATTATTAAGTCGGAATTTCATTTTAAAATTGTCTTTAATTCTATGCTTTCCTGATGCATCTCTGATTTTAGAATCTGAAAGATTGAAAAACTTCACGTAATAAGACTTAGGGTATTAAGAGAGGCACTATAATAATTCAGAATTTATAAATATCCAAATTTAATGAATTCAAATATAAATCTTTAGAATGCAGGAAATCAAACTATTCTTCTTATTTCTCTTTTTTCTGACCCAGAAACTGTATTAGGCTAGGAAAATACATGAAGTACGTTAGAATGAGTAATAAAAAGATATATACAAGCAAATCTGATTTTAAGGGACTTATGGACCAGGGAGATACATATATAAAGTAATGGCCAAAATGCAAGATACAGATATCTATAGAGTTATGGCAGGTAAGAGGTAGAAGAAGTTATTTTGTGTCATGAGAAAAGAACAGATTCATGGAAGGGGAGAGGGACAAAAGCACAAGGAGAAGGTAACACCATCAAAAAAGATGCAGGGTTAGGAGACTAACAAAAGATATCAAAGAACAGAATATAGTTTACTTTGCTCCTAATACAGAGTGAGGAAAAAGTATAGTAGAAGTTAGGACAGGTAGGTTAGGGCCAAATACTAGAAGGCTTTGAATGTAGAGTTAAAGAGGTTATATTTTATTTTATAGACAACAGGAAGTCTTACTTATCTTTGAGATATGATCAGAGGTTAACCTGAAAAAGGTTCACTCATAACTGGGGGACGGGAAGAAGGAAAGGTCTGAGAGTAAGTGGTATAAGAGTGATTAGTTAGGAAAGTACCTCAAATAGCCCAAATGAGAGCTCATAAATTATAAACTTAGGACAACATAAATTAGAGAAAGGGATGGATAGGAAGCTTACTATTGAAGTTAAAAGAACAGAATTTAGTATCCTGATATCTGTAGGTACAAAGGAAAGATAAAGATAAAGGCTGGGCCCCAATGTCTCACACTTGTAATCCTAGCTACATGGGAAGCAGGGATCAGGAGGATTGAAGTTAGAAGCCAGCCCCCAGGCAAATAGTTCTCAAGATTCTATCTCAAAAAAACTCAACACAAAATTGGGCTGGCAAAGAGGCTCAAGTGGTATAGTGCCTGCCTAGCAAGTGTGAGGCTGAGTTCAAACTCTAGTACCACAAAAATAAATAAATAAGTAAAAGTAGGGTTGAGGTTTTTAAGTCCAGGTAACTAACAGTACCACTAACAGACTGACAAACAGAAAAGGGAAAAAAGCAGTGCAAATCTGGAAATTAAAAAGAAAAAAAAAAGTTAAATTATTTCAATTTTGTTTCTTCCCCTAACATGGACAAGCCATACTTTGCAACTCTGATGAGAAATAAGCAAGTTATAGGCAGGTAGAAGTACAGAGACAGATAAACTAGTCATTTGAAGATGATCACTGGCTACCTAGGAAACTGAGAGAATATAACAATGATCAACTGTACTCTCTCTGACTGATTTCCAATTATCTAGCATTTAAAACCAGGACAGTATAAGCTAAAAGTAAAGACACTTCACATGACGTACAAGTGGTATGAGGGTTATTTTTAGTTATTGAAAGAGAAAGCACTTCCTTGTAGGAGCAAAGTACGCTGCCTGTATTTTTGCTATTGAAGGCTAACCATGCATCTCTGGAAAGCCAGTATATTTAACAAAACCACAGACTAGCTCACAGATGCAACAATGCCTAAAATCACCTAACAGAAAAGAAATATAACAAATTTCAATACCAAGTATCAAAAGCATTATTTATACATAGAAAGGGAAAAAATCTGTTTTGAACACTTTGGCTAGATTGTAGGAGCCTGGATTTGTCAATATTGCAGCAGAACAACTACATAATCAATGAGTCTTCCAGTTCTCACAGATTTATGGGTAGCTGAATCACTCTTTCCTAAGAGTCACTCTGGTTATGAGACTCATCTCTAAAAACTTTTCACTCTTCAAATAAAAGCCATTAAACATCTTCCAAAGCAGTACATGATGAGTCACCCAGGAACTTTAAAAGCACTTCTGGAATAGTAAGTCAAACACAGGACAAAACAAATCTTCAAACCATTTCTGAAAGCCTCTGTGGCCTTACCTGGCTGCTGCCTTGCTGAGCAGTTCAGTCCATCTACTTTCAAGACTCTCCAACTGCCCAGTGATTTTCTCTCTATCAGCTAGCTCAGCTGATTGGGCAATTCTCCCTCCTTCTGCTTGAAGCATGTCTACTGTGGCCCTGCGATCATCTAGGAGCCGTTGGAGCAACTGTACACATTCAAAGAGAATGGAAAGTGTAACACAAGGTCATTTGAAAATCTTAACTGGGAAGAAAAAACAACCCACCTTGCCAAATCCTAAGCTTAACTGAATAACACAGTTTTTTTTTTTCCATTGTTGAGGCAAAAGCATGAGATATAACATAGTTCTTACTACCCCCACAAAGTTTTTACATGGAGCTGGGACTGCCATGTAATTATCAGTGAACTTTCTTTGAACCAAGAGAAAAGTACACTGAAAAATTATTAGTATGGGGCTGTGTACATGCCTGTAATCCCAGATACTTGGGAGGTGAAGATTGGAAGGATGATGGTTCAAGGCCAGCCCAGGCAAAAAGTTAGTGAGACCCTGTCTCAAATAATAAGTTGGGTGTGGCAGTTCATGCCTGTGATCCCAGCCATGAGGTAGGTTGTACATAGATCAGGATCTGAGGTTGGCCCTGGGCAAAAATTAAAGACTCTGCCCGAAAAAATAATTAAAGCAAGAAAGGGCTTGTGGCTCAAGTGGTGGAGCATCTGTCTAACAAGTGGCAAGCTATGAGTTAAAATCCCTGTACCACCAAAATATAAATAAAAATTTAAAAACCATTACAATGAAGTAACAAGCTAATTAGCTCAATTAAGGCAATCATTTCCTAATGCATATGTATATCAAAACATCACCTTGTACACTGAATATATACAATTTTTATTTGTCAGTATACCTCAAGAAAGCTGGAAAAGAATAAAATAAAATTTTCTTTAGGATAAACATTTTTAAAAAAAGAAAAATGTATTGAAATAGAAATTAAGTTAACAAAAAAAATATAGATTGAAACTTGTATATGCTATATGACATTATTTAGAATATTGCCAATCCTGAAATAACAAAGTGGGTATAAAACTCTGCAATAGTTTAGTCTAACATATGCCATAGCAAAATAGTATATTAAAATAAGTCAATGAAATATCAATTTCCACTTTTTTTTTTTTTTTTTAATTTCTTTTGAGACAGGGTCTCACTATGTAGTCTAGGCTGGCCTCAATTTCTCAATCCTCCTGCCCCAGCCTCCTGGGTGCTGGGATTATAGGTGTACGCCTACCTTTCTTTCTCTCTTTTTTTTTTTGGTGAGACTGGGGTTTGAATTCAGGACTTTGCACTTGCAAAGTAGGTGCTCCACGCTTGAGCCATGCCGCCAGTCCATTTTTGCTTGTTATTTTGGAGATGAGGTCATATGAACTATTTGTTCAGGCTGGCCTTGAACCTTGGTTGTTTTGATCTCAGAGTCCCAAGTAGCTAGGATTACAGATACGAGCTGTTGGCGCCTGGCTCCACCTTTCTTTTCAGGAGGACACTGAATAGGTTAAATTCTACTAAATTCCTGATTTGTTCCTTAAACATAAGCAAATGTGTTGTCTACCACTCCCTATGGCTGTTTCAGTTCACTGTCCCCACATTCTCACTTACCTTCTGTTCTTGGATCTGTGCTTTCACTACTTTATACTCAGCAGATGGAGGTTTCTGACTGGCTATGAGCTCTTCTGTGTCTGCCAACCAGCTGAGCAATGGCTCCAAGGCATCTTGAAACTTTCCACAATGCAACAAAGCCTCCTGTAGTTGTGCGATTCTTTGTGCAACCTGTGTCATAGACCAGGAAGCTCGTTATGAGAAAGGAGAGAGTGTTTTTTAAAACTATAGACTGCATCAGAAAAATCTGTATTTGCATTCAGGTTCTAAGGAAAGCTGACTTAGATGTCTCTTTTCTAATGCCTTCTGGTTCTGGCACACTTGTTACCTCCTTGCCACTTACCTTCTTATTCAGTGTATTCCATCGAGCATTGATCTCGTCCATGTCATGTTCTAAGCCCTGCACATCACAGTTTTTTCCTGCACTCTGAATTAATCCCTGGCCAAGTCCATTCACCTGCTGCAATTTCATCTGAAGAGGATCCACTTGCTCTTTCTGAAACATCTGCATAATTGCAAACCAAGGAAGATTTAATCTAAAGGATATTAAACCCTCTATACCATTCAGTGACTTGATACTTTTATGATTTAATGAAGGAGGACAAGGAATAAAAAGGAAAAAACAAGCCAGCTGAACAGTGAAATACCAATGAAACACAAGGTTTCATATTTCAATAGGTCCTTCCATGGACATGTAATTAGGTAGAGTTATGTCACAACTTAGATCTTTAACCCACAATTTTTTTATATGTTGCTTAATTTTTAATGCAAAAAGCTATAGGAAACAGTGAACCATCAGCCTCAAATACTATAAAGTAAGTACAATGTATATGAATCCTAAATGGGAAGAATGATAGCAAATGACAAGTATTTAACATGAAAGAAGTACCTTAAAGAACAGCTTCAACTGACCAGTGATAACAGGCAATGCACTTCTCTACTAGGATGAATAACTCAATTAGTTAAATATATTAATAGAGTTAAAAATACTAAACTCAAAAGGTAAACATTGATCTACCATTTGATCCAGCAATACCACTCTTGGGGATGTACCCAAAAGACTGTGACACAGGTTACTCCAGAGGCACTATTCACAATAGCCCAGTTATGGAAACAGCCAAGATGCCCCACTACTGACGAATGGATTAACAAAATGTAGTATCTATACACAATGGAATTTTATGCAGCCATGAAGAAGAACGAAATGTTATCATTTGCTGGTAAATGGATGGAATTGGAGAACATCATTCTGAGTGAGGTTAGCCTGGCCCAAAAGGCCAAAAATCATATGTTCTCCCTCACATGTGGACATTAGCTCAAGGGCAAACACAACAAGAGGATTGAACTTTTGATCACAAGATAAAAGTGAGAGCCCACAAGGGAGATATGAGGATAGGTAAGACACCTAAAATATTAGCTAGCATTTGTTGTCCTTAACACAGAGAAACTAAAGCAGATACCTTAAAAGCAACTGAGGCCAAAAGGATAAGGGGACCAAGAACTAGAGAAAAGGTTAGATCAAAAAGAATTAACCTAGAAGGTAACACATATGCACATGAAATTAATGTGAGTCAACTCCCTGTATAGCTATCCTTATCTTAACTAGCAAAACCCCTTGTTCCTTCCTATTATTGCTTATACTCTCTCTTCAACAAAATTAGAGATAAGGGCAAAACAGTTCCCGAGGGGGTGGGGCAGAGTGGGTGGTAAGGGAAGGGGTGGGGGTAGGGGGAAGAAATGACCCAAGCATTGTATGCACATATGAATAATAAAAAATAAATAAATAAAAAATAAAATCTGGAAGAAGAAAAAAAAATACTAAACTCATAGATTAATTACCCTGTAGCCATTTAACTTCATTCTGTTTCAGGGCCATAGACCACACAGACAATAATCTTGAAACAGTACTCCTGATTACAAAAGAAAATGATACAATGATGTTGAGAAATGCCTTATCAACCTCAGTCACATAAACTAAGTAAAATGCTACTAAGAACAGGTTTCTCTCATTACAGGAAGATAAAATTGACCACATCCTACTAGTTTGGATATATTTTTCTTTTGGCAGCAGAGGTTTGAACTCCTGGCCTCACACTTACTAGGCAGGTATTCTACTACTTGAGCCATTCCACTAGTCCCTACTTCTTTTTCTTCTTCCACAAAAGTTCCTTCAGTTTTAGTGAGACAATTGAGTCAATTAAGGCCAGACAATGACAGAAAACGGAAGAGGTCAAAAATAAACATAAATGAAAATTTTAGCCGGGCACTGGCTCACACCTATAAAAATTCTTGCTACTCAGGAGGCAAAAAACCCTCTCTCCCTCTCTCTCTCTCTCTCTCTCTCTCACACACACACACACACATAAAGGCTGGTGGAGTGGCTCGAGTTATAAGGCCTGAGTTCAAGCCCCAGAACCACAAAACAGAAGAGAGAAAGAAAATTTTAAGTTTGGGTCAGAGTAATGTCAGTCTATATGGGATCACAGATCACACTAGAATTAGGAATCTGATTCCAGAAAGAATGGTTGGATAAGTGAGTAAGCTAAGAGGGAAAGCCCCAGCAAAGACTTGAAAAAGGTCACAAAGGTGGTTAATTACCAGTGCACTTCATTTTATACTGTAATTTCATTACATTATATTTTGTTAGGCAAGAGAACAAAGTAGCTTAGTTGAAACACCTGTTCTAGGTACTAGAGAAAAGGTTAGATCAAAAAGAATTAACCTAGAAGGTAACACCCACGCACAGGAAATCAATGGAGTCAATGCCCTGTATAGCTATCCTTATCTCAACAGCAAAAACCCTTGTTCCTTCCTATTATTGCTTAATACTCCCTCTCTACAACAAAATTAGAAATAAAGGGCAAAATAGTTTCTGCTGGTATTGGGGGGGGAAGAGGGAGGGCGGAGTGGGTGGTAAGGGAGGGGGTGGGTGGCAAGCCCGGGGAGAAATGAACCAAGCCTTGTATGCACATATGAATAATAAAAGAAAAATGAAAAAAAAAGAAAAAAAAAGAAACACCTGTTCTTCAACAACATAGTTCCCAGAAAAAAAGGAAGTGATATAATTCTATTTTGTAACATTAAAGAAGTTACATTGAAGAAAAATTGGAAAAAACTCTGAAATTTAAATTGCTTTGTTCCAACAAAATGATGGTGGTGATGCAGGCAGGGAGAGTTGGGAAGGCAAAAAAAAAGGCACAGAAGCAAAGATACAGAGGGAAGACATCAAGTCCACACAGAAGGGCCTTCTTTTACCTAATAATCAAATCCTGTGTCATACTACAACTAGCACTGAAATTCTTTCTGTGCTAGCATGGTAAATAGCAGCTACTTGTGGTTATTTAAATTAAAAATTCTGTTCCTAGTCACATTTTATGTGGTTAAAGGTACATGAAGCTAGTGCCAGGCAGGGTCACAGACAGAGAGTATCTCCACTGTGGCAGGAAGTACTACTGGACAATGCCACAAATGATGCAGAAAAGTCAAATATAAATAGTCAATCTCTTTCATAGGA